TTTTAATTCACTTCAAATTGTGTAAATAGTTCTTCACAATATAAAAAGCAAGGAGTGCTTAGAAAATTTTAATTCTCCTTTTCTGCCAAAACTGTAAAGCCTTTTCATAAAGGTGAACCATTTGTACTTAATCCTATGCAATTTATCCATTTCAACAGTTTTCATTCAAAAAGGGACATTTTAAGTGAAAAGTTTACAGCAAAATTGCTCAAAAATTGTTACCGTTACTCAAATGTATATAAAAAAATTTTTTTTTTCTTTTTAAATGTCATGTTTCTTCAAGATGTAGGCACCATGACCCTCCATAGATACTTTTTTTTTCCTATTTGTGAATTGCTATACATTCTTGGGAAAGATAATGGAATGGTTTCCCATTTTCTTCTCCATGGTTTGGAATACAATAGCTGTGCTAGCGCTAATTCACTAAAATCTGTCAAACTCATCAAGATGCAATACAAACATCTTATCATTTGCCAAACTATTTTTTATTTATATTTTCAGACATGACTTTAATCTGTTTTCCATTTGTGCTGTTTGCTGAAGGAATCTTTCATATTTAAAACTCAAATTCAGAGTCATTTCATTGTTGTAACTATTACAAATTTTCTTGGTGCTTTCTGTAACTGTATTTTTCGAGACCTGATTCATGGTTCAAAAAGTGCAAAATTAATAGACGAGGTTTGTTTTAATAAGCTTGCTGGGAGGTTCAGAACATTCATTTTATATTTTAAACATGGGATCTCTCTCACAAAGCAATGAATTCAAAATAATTTTTTTATACTTTTGTCGAGATATTAATTATAAGCCATTGCCAAAAAACAAGAACCATATACTAATAGTTGCCTCTAAATTTTTTTTGTTTTTTGTAGGAAATTTTCTGAATCTAGCACCAAGCTTATTATGTATTAAGTAATCAAACAGTAAAATATACACAGAAAGAGAATCCTACATACACTGACACACTAATGTATGATTTGGATACGATTTTTTTGATTCAATTATATTTATTAAATTTGAAATCTATGTTCTTAATAAATGAATCAGATTCAAGTTTGTTTTTTTTTTGGAGGTGGGGGATCAACTCTGGTGGATAATATAATTACTAAAATAAGCAAAAAGGAATTATCACAGAATGACTATTAGTTTACAAATCACCAGCATGTATGTAAGGATAGTTGGAATCAAGGGATCTGAAATGACACATTTCTGAAACTTAGCCACAAAAAAAAAAAAACAAAAAAAAAACAGAAGATTTGAAACCAGAGTAAAAAGAATTAAAAAAAAAAAGAAAAAAAAGTCAACTATTAATTAGTTTAGTACAGTGGGCGTTGCACAATAGAGCCAATCAGACATTTGTGGTTTTGGAGCCCCTTGAATGATTTTCAGCTCAATTATGGGACTGTATAAATGTTATTTGTATTAAGTGGAAGATTAAAACAAAACTTTCACATTTCTAATTTTAAAAAAAAAAAGGGGGGGTCTGCAATGAAAAGACAATTTTTGCATTTAACCTCTTTAGACTTCTTTTGGCGGGATTTTCAATGTTAAAAATGGATTCTTTAACCCCCCCCCCCCACACCATCAAAAAAAAAAAAAAAGAACAGAAATAGAGGTCTATATCATGAGCTTGCACAATAAAGTCAAGTGGACATTCTTGGTTTTTGGATGATTTTAAGCTCAATTATGGAACAGTATTAGGAAGATTAAAAGAAAACTTTCACATTTCTAATTTAAAATAAGGGGTTTAAGTCTAGAAACCCTGGCCTACTGTAAGGAGCCAAAATTCTTGAAAACAGCTTCAAGTTTTGCATTTAACTCATTTAGATATATTGGGAGGATTTTCAGTGATAAAAAAGATACAACACTGAAAAACATGAGCGAGATCTAGATCATGATTTTCTGATAAATAAAAGAAAAGTTATATTGAAAAATGATATTTGGTGCCGAAAATTGGTACTGTTCAAATCAATTTGTTTTTGTCAAACAGAAACACTATTTACCAAAAATATATTCTGAATCATAGAATAAAAAAATGAAAAACTATGACATTATTTAACTAGAAAAGCTTTTAATTGCTTTTATAAATAAGTTGTATTAAGAAAAACGATTTTTTCATTGAATAATGAATTTTTACAAAAATTGTTTTCATTTTTAAAATTTTCTTTAGAAAAATTTATCAAGTTTTAAATCTTTTAAAATTCTGTATTAAACTTTTATTAAGTGAAAACTATATTTACTAATCATAAAAGGAAAACTTAATACAAATCATCAAACACCAATATTTTTAAAAGAATTTTGAATTTTTTTGTGTGCACATAAATGTGCTGATTTTTGTAAGTATGGGTGACTACACACAATATTATCAGAAAATAAGAGCGATAACTATAGTAACTTTAAAGTCAATATTTCTAAAATTCAATAAAACATTAGATTATGGAGAATATTTTCCTAAATTTCTTAGATTACTGAGTAGTTGAAAATTATATAAAAAAGGTACTCACACCATTTTCTTAAATTAAGTTTCACAGATAAAGTCTCCATAGAACAATATCAGATCCATCATCAGGCTGTCAAAACAGCTATTGTCAGGTTAAAAACACAACTACTGTCAGGTTAAAAAATGCATTTCTGCAACATTTTAAATTTAAAGTAAATAATAGTTGTTTCAAACCAAATTAAATATATTTTATTTGAGGAATATTAGCTAATCAGCTATTTTAGCAAAAACAAATACAACTCCTTTCAGTCAATTTAAATTATTTTTTGAAATACAGCAAAGTATTTTGCTTATTGGAAATATTAAATTTAATCTATTAGCTTGAAATTAAAACTAAAATAAAACCTTTAAGAAAGATTTTTAAAAATTCATTTTAAACCTGAAGTATCATGTTTTTTGGGGGGTGGTCCCTGAGATATATAAACTTAGTTGACATGTTTCATCTTTCAATGAACTTTATCAAGGCAAATGTAAGGTTTTTATTTTGCATCACGTATTTATAAACAAAATTAAAAATGCTGTTAGTTTTTCGAAATTTTTAAATATAAGAATGTTCATAAATATACATCAGATTAACTGAAAAGTCAAGCTAACTTATGGAAGATGCTAAGTGATATAATTTTATGCCTAATAAACAAATGTGAGTAAATGCTGAATTTTTTTTTTTATAATGTAATTATTATTTATATTATTTTAGTTTGGGATTAATTCATGTGTTATATATTTTACATAATAAAAGATAAATTTAACAGTTTTCTTTTAATTTTTAATATTTTTATAGTCATGTATGCTAACTTGGGAAAGGAGTAATTCTTTCAGGAATGGAGATATTTGGAAAAATCTGGGGTGCAAATTTATATTTCGATAGCAAGACTCTGAAGAAATTTCTGTCTAAGTATGTTACTTTCTCTTTTAATAAATGTGGCATTCTTTAGATCAAAGTTGTGGTTGAATTTATTTATCTATGACTAATGGATTTGATAAATTGTTGTGTAGGAGATCCTTTTTGTGTTCATAGATACATTTTTTTAAATTTCTGCAAGTTTCCCAGTGTATTGTAAGGAACAGTTGTGACAATTTATTTTATATATACCTGCTTCAGAATTATTTTTATATCATTAAAATTGGACAAATTGTTTTGGATAATAGATGTTAAGGAGTTAATAGTTTTATATGTCTATTTTCATCTAGTTTATTGTCATTGTTGTTGTCATTATCTTTTTTTTGCAGTTGTATATTTTGTATGACTTTCTATTAGTGTTGTGGATGAAATAATGAGGATATTTGAGGTTTATGTTTTTTATACATATTTCTTCAGGTAAGTAATAGGGGTTGCAGATTCTTAGTGTTCTTACAGAGAATCTAATTATTCCAGATTTTATTCCATTACAGAGGTGAGAATAGAAATTAATAAGGTCATTCTTGTTGGTAGATTTTCTGTAATCCTCCAACTGAAGATCATTATTAGTTCTATGTAGCATTGTAATCTAGAAAGGGTTACTGAATGAGGAATAACCAAAACAAAAACTAGAAATGAAAATGGTAATCATTATAACATCAACAAAATACAATACTTGCCAATGGTGTGAAGTAGGTAAACCACTGCCAGTGGTGGACTACTTAGACAGCATATTACCCCCACTTACAATAGTGTCCAACATTTTTATGAGGATTGGGACATACCCATTAGTGTTCATAGTTAAGGTATATAACAGATATCTAGGAAGGGTAAAGTGTTGTTAGACTCAAATTCAAAGGTAAAATCTATTGTGTGTTCAATGTTCTTTTGTTTGTTAACAAGATCGGTGGAAACTATGTCTTATTTAAGAGAACTAAGTAACTGCAAATAAATTAAATACTATTTTCACTAATGGATGATTTTTTTTTCAAATAAAATAGAGGGAAAAGTACAATGTAGAGAATACCTAATACAATGCAAAAAAGGTTTCTCTTTAATAATAATGATTCACAGAAACTATTTCTGTGTTTAGCAAATTTTTATAAATAACCTATTATAGAACATAAATAGTAACTCAGAAGTTAAAGCAGCTAGGAATTCATCAGTTATTTGATGTTAATAAATTATCAGTTATTTAATTTAATAAGTCTTATTTGAGACAAAAATAAATGAATTAATAGAAAAATAGACACAGGCCCAGTTTACACCAGAGTCTTCAAGTAAAAGTGGCCACTTTTGAAGGATCTTACCCCTTTAGTTGGCATAATCTAAGCCCCCACTGACAGGGCAATGCAAATATTTTTAAACTGCAGGAATACATATGAAGTTTACAAATAGATAAATTTCAATATTTTACTGAGAGAATATTAGCATATAATTCATTATCATTAAATATTTCTTGTACTTATCTCTGTTAAAAGTAGATTGGATAAAGCAAAAATTATACAACCCAGTTTTTGTTGATTTAAATTTTTGAGTTTTTTTTTTTTTTTTTTAATCCAAATGCATTTACATTTTTGTTTTTTATCATTGTTTCTTACTTACCTTGAACAAAGCAAGAGACAATGCCTTGGTGGTGATCAGATGAGTAATCAGTTGGGCCAAATTAAATATGGCTCCATTAGATAAAGTGTTAATATCCTTGAATTTATCCCACATATTGAATTGGAATGTCATCTGTAAAAAGTGAGAAAGAAACATAATAAAAAGAATTCTGGTAATTCTTTTTGGAGTGTTTGGTTTTTATTTTAATAAGGATTTTATTATCACAAATATTTTTCATTGAATTGATGAAAATCTTAAATAAAAAAGGAGGATTTCTTTCTGTGCTATCAAGATTGAATTTCGTCTTGCACTCACTCATTTTATTCCATTTTTTTTACATTTTTGTTTTTTATCATTGTTGCTTACTTACCTTGAACAAAGCAAAAGACAAAAACTCCAAAACTACAATATTTAAGACACTTATAACCACATATATTCTAATTCAGTATGTTCCAAGGGATGTTTTCATAAACAATTTATTTCTATACTCTTTATATAAGCAAAGATATTTGTAAATTAAAACATGTAATAGTCAGCATTAGAAAAATAATACACTGATATCTCAGCATTTTCAATTTCATTCAATTTTTTGTATAAACAATGGCAATGTTAATTAATGAATGAATTGTAGAATATTCCAAACTTTTTGTTTAATAAATGACAACTTTTTAAATTATTAATATTTTATATAAAAAACAAATATAAAAAGCTACATGTTTAGTAAAAACCATTAAATGTACATACATAAACCCTATGTCATTTAATTATTTTTTTTAAACAATGGCAAAAAATTAAATTAAACTGAAAATGAAAAGATTAAAAGAATACACAAGCAATTATTTCATTTAATAAAGTGCTTTTTTGTTTTAAAATTACAAGCATTTTTTCATGAAAGACAAACTCTCTTTTCTTACAAAAATTAGAACAATATTAAGTGCAAAAAAATGTTTTAAAAACAAAAAATACATGTGGCTTTAAATGTCCAAGTATTGTACTTTTGGAGATTAAGTTGGCTGCCATACATACAAAAGATTTAGAACAAACAACAATTAACATTGTTTTCTTTTTATATATTAACAATTATTTTTCTTTATTTAAAGAGTGGCAAAAATTAAATTAAATTCTAATAAATATTGTTATAAGAAATTAAATGACATTCTGTTTAAATATAAATATTACTATTATTAATATTGTTCATCTAGAATTTCTACATTACTGTACATTATTTTGATATATGGGCAATGTCAGGTAGTGACATTTACAGAATCTACTTTAACCAAAGTAATCTTGCAAATAAAATTCTCTTAGACATTACCTGAAAGCGTCTATGTAATTCACAGAATTTCTGCAGCAAATGTGCATAATAGGGATTGTAATCATCCTCTTGAACACAGCAATCAATTGTCACATGGATTATCTCCCTTTCTTGTAGCGGTTTCAATTTCAATTCCAAGAGAGATTCAAAGGCTTCAACAAAATCCTTAAAAACAAACAAAAACAAAAATTATAAAAATAAGAATTATGAAAACTTTGTATACACTCATACATTTATTATTACTATTATTATTATTATTAATGATACTCTGCAAAATTGCAAAAATGTGAAAAAATATATCATAATTTTAAAATATTTATGTTATTATAGATTTCAGACTCCTTAAACCTTGATAGATCCAGATCCATCTACATATCACTGCCTACAAAGCCACATATCAATGAACATAAACTCCATCAATAATCAGCTTAATGAGGCACATAACCAAGCATATCATCCCAATTTTAATAAATCGATTGCATAACAGAATTAGATTGGAAATAAGACAAGAATGATGTTGTTTCATTAAAGACACTGGAACAAGAAATGCAATATTTATGATTAGAATGATATCAAAGAGTAATACAAATGCAGAAGCATGTATATGCTCCTTAGACTATACAAAAACATCTGATATGGTGCAACACAAAGTTCTATTTGAATTGCTAGGAAAACTTGATTTATTTGGGAAAGATATTAAAATAATAGAGAACTTAGACTGAGAGAAAACTGCCTGCATATAGAGAGGAAATGAATTGAGTAAATACACTAAACTAGAAAGGAGCGTAAGACAAGGATGGGTTTTCTCACCAAATTTATTCAACCTTTACTGCAAGGCAATCCTAAGAGAATGAAGAGTCCTAACAGGACTTGTGCACAATCTTAATAATAAAAGATATGCAGATAAAACAGTACTGATGGCAGACACAGAAAAAACTGCAGAAACTCTTAGACAAAGTAGTAAAGAAAAGCGAGAAGAAAGGACTAACCATCAATTGAAAGAAGACAATGTCTGATTAATTACAAATTAGAGATGTTGAAATCAAACAAGTACAGAATTTTAAATATTTGGGAAGTGTTGTAACAGATGATGAAAAATTTTATCATGAGGAAAAGAAAGTATACATAGTAAAGAAATGGAAGATAGAAGAGGTGATAATGCTCTCATATATTTAATATCTGCTTAAGTGAAATGGCAATTTTGAATATTTTCATTTGTATCCTCTTGCTTCTTTAAATAATGACCTGTATCTATACTTATGATAGTTATTAGAATATCTTGTTAAATGTTGTTAAGCTCAAATATTTAATGATGAAATAAGGTAATTTCTATGAGTATTTCATAGTTGGAAAAATCGCAAGAAACTTATTTATTAAATTTTGAATTAAGATTCATCAGAAAATTAAAATTGGAAAAATATTAAATTTTCATGTGTACTGCTGGTAAAAATAATTTGTTTGAAACTTTTAAGTTGGATTTTTTTTATGTTTTAAAACTTAACTAAAAAGAATGCATTTAAATAAACTATTTTTAAAATGTGTTGCTGTAGTTTTTAATGATATAGACAATACAGTACACAAACAAAAGAACATCTTTATTTATATTCACTTCAAAGAAATTTCCCTAAAATATACAAATTCACAAGAAACTGTAATGAGTTGGTCGGTCAACTTGACACCCCCAAAGCAAGTAGAGGTGGGCATGCGCAAGAACTCAATTCATTAATGCTAAATAGTATATTGTAATTTTATTTATTGTCAGAATTACTATTTAGTTTTTGTTTTTCAGCCTTGGATTTAAACTTTTAGAATATAGGAAAGTAATTTTTCACTGGGGAGTTATTTCCAAATTCTTCTACTAATAAGTTAGTGATATCTATTATTTCTATGCACTTTTCTCCATTTCATTTATTCAATTTATTCATGTGCTTGTCCGTATTTATTGGTTTTACATTTATTTTTCTCACCATATCCCACACTTTCTTCACTGGTGTATTCGTGTCAAGTTGTCATACACATATTTCTTTTTTTTTGCCCCCATTATTCTCTTTTACACGAAAATGGATATGAAGCATAAGTATGTAATTGAATCCTTCCATTTGGAAAAAAATGACACCTACTGACATTCATCAATGTTTGCCAAATATTTACAGAGACCAGACAAGCTTAGTTAAGGTGTAGGTAATGCATTTCAGTGGTGGCAACAACAATGTGTATGACAAGACATATTCTGAGCAGCCCGGCACAAATGTCAAATTTTATGTGAAAAAATAAATAGTTTTTATCTGAAAACTTGCCTATTCCAATTGTTATTGTATCTGTTGTTATTTCCTTAGAAATAAATAGGAAGCATTAATTTCAAACAAAGTGAGCCCTCATCTCAATGTAGTTTACAAACATATATATATATATATATATATATATATATATATATATTACATAAGTACAATTATATGAGACAGATGAGAACCTTGAAGCAATATCAAGAAGAAAAATAAGTTTCTCCTTTTCACTGCTGAAAAGGTTTTGATAAGAAAGAAAAATATTCACCATTTTTTTTGTCTTTTTTAAATTAAGGGTATTTTGTGGCCTAACATTTGTTTATCAATAGAGGTGGTTAAATTGTTATAATTCAAAAAGTATGTTTTTTATAACCAAGTTGCTTATCACTTTTGCCTTGTCTAGTTAAAAGTTAAATTGCAATTGGTTATCAGAAAGGCAAAAGTTTTTCAATTACAAATTTTTAATTTATAAAGAAAATCTATTTTTCTTTTTACAATATAATAAAAAACGTCTTTCACATTAATTTTTCTTTACTACTATTGCTGAAGGCATCTAAAGATGTTAACAAAAAAACAAAACAAAACAATAAATATCACCATGAAAGATTTTCAGAAATATTTTCAAATATCATTTCTGTCATCTTCAATTCAGTTGCTTTTTACCACAACTTCATGAATCTCAAAAAAAAAAAAAATCAACAGAAATTAAAATGTAAGAACAATTTGTTGAAAAATAATTAATAATGGTTCATCTAATAATGAATACACACTAATTAATATGGCCACATTTCGAAAGTTTGGGACGATTTCCTATGTGATGTAAGGGAGAGAACTCATGAATTTCATCAAAAGAAAACGAAGTACAAAAATACATGCAAAAATTCAAAACCTTTTCAAGATGACATAATATTCAAAAATGCAATCTTACTCCAGAATTGATTTGTTACAGATTAAAAATTGATTTTTTTTTATTCTTGGGAAGTTGTGAAGAGTCATGGTCGCATAGATCCTGAAAAATCTTGGATCATAAAAAAAAGTGTATTTACCAATAATACTGGTATCTTTTTACCCACAAAGATAACTTATTCTATTTATATACATTTATTCAAAGATTGACAACTGATTCGCAGGTTGAATGGGAAATTATTAACCTTTGTTCATAAATAGGGCATGGCATATAGCCAATCACTAACCATTGTTTATAAATAGAACATAGCATATGGGCAATCACTAACCTTTGTTTATAAATAGAGCATGGCATATGGCCAATTACTAACCTATGTTTATAAATAGATTATGGCATATGGGGAATCACTAACCTTTGTTTATAAATAGGGCATGGCATATGGCCAATTATTAACCTTTGTTTATAATTAGAATATAGCAAATAGCCAATCACTAACCTTTGTTTATAAATAGTGCATAGCATATGGGCAATCACTAACCTTTGTTTATAAATAGGGCAAGGCATATGGCATGTTTATAATCAGAGCATGGCATATTCGACCAAGAAAGTGACAATGAGATTGATGCAGTCCTTAGAAACTTAGACTGTATTAAATCAAAACTCCTTGCTAATTGTCAATGTTAGACTGTTCCATTGACTAACAAAGGAATTTTGTACTAAAAGAGAAAGTGAAACAAATAGAAAGTACAAGCTCTCAAAAAAATTTCAAAATATTCATTTTCACCAAATATCAATGTGTGTGTGTGTATATATATATATATATATATATATATATATATATATATATATATATATTTATTTATACAACCACCCTGCAAGTATATATATTTATATATATTTATACAACCACTTAGCACCTTCACCCCCCCCCAAAAAAAAATGAATTAGGCATGGGTTTTAGGGTGAAGTAGTGTTATCACTAACCCAGTGCACTCACAGTACCTCACAATATCACCAGGCTTTCTCAGTTTTCCCATCACAGGGTAGAAATGCTAGATCAATACAGATACTTAATCTTGGAACCTTTTTCTGTTTATGATTGGTTGGTAGGTTGATTGATTGATTGATTTTGTTTAGTGGCATATCAATTCCTCTATGGGTTATTTAATGCTGAAATCTAAATATTTTCAACACAATTGTATGACTTCAACTACAGATAAACTGTATTGTTGGTAACTTTACTATAAATAGGTACTATTGGTAATTTCACCACAAATAGGTATTGTTAATAAATTTTTTTATATAAAATGTATTGGTGATATTTTTACTATAAAAATATATTTTTATAATGTTTTGTTTGGTGGGTTCACCAGTTGCCCATATCTGGGACCCTAACATGTGCTACCACCCCTGGTCAGGGTGGACCTGGGACCAACAGCAATTATAAGGTGCTTCCATGCTCCTCAAAACCTCCAATCTCCCAATCAGAGGCTTTGCTGCCAGATGTATTCTGTTGATGACAATCTGAGTTTAATGGTGTATGTCAAGGTTGAGTTGGCAATAAAACTTTCGCCTCTGGTTTCGATATATATTGTATAAAATTTGTGATATTTATATTGAAAGGGTGCTCATTTAATGGAGATAGCATGTTTCTTTATAATTATTGTGGAAATAGTAATCAACACTGTATAGTCTGATCTTCATTTAAAGCATGAAACAGCCAGCCACCATAAAACGTTGATTTCTATGTCAATACACATGTCATATATATGGATAGAATCTACCATCAAAAAGACGATGTATGAGTGTTTAGCAAAACTAGCGTCTGTGACTATGAGTGCAAGAGATCAGAGCAACTCTCTTAAATCCAGAATTAGATCAAAGATGGAAATTGGTAGGTGACATTCTTTGTAATTCTGATTCTTTGTCTCAGATTGTCCTGGTGCTCAAGTCTAGGTGGCACCATTGTATCTTGACATCAGCTGTTCTCTGACATTTGGTGAGTTACTGATGTGAATTATCAGAGTTCAAATGGGGTATGAGTGGGTGTCAGACAAATGGCACATTCCATTTCAGATATTGTCAGGATATTTGATATTCCAGGATCTATTGCAGTTATGGCCTGGTTTGTTTTCTGAATGACACACCTAATTTCATGAGGAAGATAACATTTATTAAAATTTTTATTTCATTTCATTCTCACTCACACACTCTCTGGCATATAACCACATACATAAATAATGATTAAGTGCAATGTTTCTTTAATTTTGTATACTTTCATTGAAAGTAACAGTTTCATCATTTTAAACCATTGGCAATTTTCACTAAGGAAGCTCATACATGTAAACATCTTTCGCTTTAAGCAGGAAACATTCATAATAATTTTTTCTCTAGTGGAGAAATATATTCCTTATTTAAAAACATTATTTTCTGCATTTCCAAATGATTAAATTAGGAATAAATCATATGCATCAGCACGCATTAATCACACTGTCATCGGTTCTAATATTATACCAAGACTTTAATTTTTTTAATTATAGAAAAAATCTTTTCTCCAAAGTAGGGAAAAAAATCAACTTTTTTTAAACCATTTCTAAAGCAGGTATGGTCTTCTGTAATGAAAATAGCTAAGGCACCTTCAACATAAAATTACCTTGAATCATTTGATTGTAGCCTACCTTATGATGAGCTATATCACATGCAGCCCACTAGCCAAAAATGGTTGTCCATGCTAGATTAATGTGCATGAGGAATATCTGATACAAGGCATTGCTGCCCACCATGGAGAGCACAATGACCAACCACGGACCCTTAATGATTGTTACCAGAGGATTCTGGTTAGAACTGTCTGTGATAAATCACACCTACATTCAATTCAGGAGTTTTCTGATGCATATCCAGCAGATCAATTCAGCATTCCCTACGTTCCATGGGATATGGAAGCAAAAGATTCATCAGGGTACCTCTGTTAACACCAAATACAGTGCCTCACTCAGGCTCATGAAACCCACTAACTGAACCTGAGAGGATTAGCAACAGTATCATGATTCATGGAGTCACATTTCCAGTTGTTTCAAGCTGATGGTTGAGCCTAGCTGTGGCACAGTTCCCATGAGGACATGTCAACACAGCACCATGCAGGTTAATGGTGGTTTCCTGATGGTGTGGGTGGATTTGCATGGCATGGGTTGAGTTAACGAGTTTGCTTAAACATATTAAACAGTTACCACTTACACAGCTTCATGTCCACTAGCACTTATTCAGGGCTTCCAGGTAAAACAATAAAGATGGGTTATTCTATAACACACCATGTCATCAGGCAAAAATTGCCTAGAATTGGGTTGAGGAGCATTCTGTAAACATACAATGAATAATGAGGCCACCACATTTACCCAATCAAGCATGTACCCTAACAGTGAGGAGTTAAACCAATAAGATATGGCACCATGCCATGAGGCCCAAGTTGCCCAGAATTGATTTGTGACACACTCTGGAGAATTCCAATAAGTTGTGCAGCTACCATGTTCATCCAACATTAACCTAATTAAACATGTATGGGATATGGTAGTCAATTTGTACACAATATTCTGCACTTATAAATATCAGAAAACTGTGGGTAGCTAACAAGATTCCTTTGATTGGTTGATTCGTTTTTTACAGTTTATCAACCCTTTGCAGGTTATTTAAAGCCAGAAAATATTTTTTAGATTGTATGATTTTTTTTTTTTTTGAGATAAAAATGGTTTAGTGATACAAATCTTACTAGTTAATCCACAGCTGAGGAAAAGAGGTGGATTCATACCTTTACCAAGAGTATTTGCACATAAGTGAATATAACGAACCCAACAGGAATTGGAACTCAGCTCTCCAGTTAACAAATTCTGAGCTATTATCCACTATATACATTACAACCCACACATCCAAATTTACAGCACCTGCTATTCCCAAGCAGTCACTCATCTAAGTATTCACCAGGCTCAATGTTGCTTAAATTCGGTGATAACATGGAAATTAGTGTTTCAACGTGATATGACCATAACCTATCGAGATTGTATAGTTCAACATCATCTCAGGTCTTGTGACCACTTGTGGAATCAGTGCCATATCAAACTACTGCACTTCACCAGGTTAGAGGGCACCGTACGCAATACTAGGTAACCGTTTCATAACTTTTGATGCATACCAGTGTGTGTGTGTGTGTGTGTGTGCGTGCGCATATATATATAATCATTTTTTTGGCTGGGCCTACGGGCTCAGACATACCCACATTAAAAAGGCCTTGTGCCACATTCAATTCCTGTGGGTGAATTGATAAATACCATATATATATAATCATGATGGCTGGCTACTCATTTCCAAGGTTGCCTCTCTGCTACAGTAACTAGCTAATCCCTGCTTCAGGCACATGATCATGTACATTTTTTAACAGTCACAATGACTTGGAAATTCATACTAACACAGCCATCAATGTAAGTATCTCTACTAATTTGATGGAAAAAGCTCCAAACTTGATAAAAACAAAGTTTAATCATTAAAATGTTTATGTTGTTATTAAGGGGAAAGACTAAAGTATTTTTTGATTATTTTATTAATTTTTTTAATCCTTTCTAGTGCGTTCAAAATTTTGGGTAAAAATCTTGATTTTCTTGCTTCAGGCGTGGGGCAGGGTGCCTAGATTACCATAGGAAATTTTAGCATCTCTTTTGAAGTAAAAAACAGATTGATTTGGAAATTCTTGCAAAAATCAAATAATAGTCGGATTTTAATGAAATTTTCAGCACTTATTCATAAATGAAAGAAATTATTTTTGAAATTTTTTTTCTTTTTCTTGGTAAGAATATTTTTTTTTTGCATCTGCCCCCCCACCATCACCATCACCACCACCTTACTTCATTTTGTGAAAGTTCAAGAAATTAAAATTTCACCCCCTTCATATTTATATCAGCTAAAGCAGGAATCTTTCAAGAATATAAATCATCAATTGTTTTTGTAAAAGAGAAACACCATTTACCAAAAATCTGCTCTGAATTGTAAAATAAAAAATGCAATAAAACTAAGGCATTATTTAATTAGAAAAGCTTTTAATTGCTTTTATGAAGAAGATATATTAAGGACACTATTGTCTTAATTTTTATTGATGAATAATGAATTTTTACAAGAATTGTTTTCATTATTTTTTAAATTTTAATTAGAATAATTTATTAAGTTTTAAATCTTAAAAATCTGTATTAATTTCATCCTTTTAGATGATATTATTAAATAAAAACTATAAATTTATCTCACTTCCTAGGTATTTAAAAGATTACCTATTAATCAAGATAAATTCTACTGAAGAGGGATGTGAAAATTTTCATAGCTAAAGCCTGGGCTGTCTTGAATAAAATGGATGTAATCTGGAAATCTGAGCTACCAGACAACGTTATATGGAGATTCTTTTGAGTGACTGTAGAAGTAGTGTTAATGTATGAAGCCACTGCCTGGACATTAATTAAAACCCTACAGTCTAAGCTTGATGGAAGTTACACTCAGATGCTGAGAGTTATACTTAACATCCCCTGGAGACAACATCCAACTAAATCAGTTCTATGGACCCATCTCTGATATTTCTACAATCTTACATGAATGCAGAATATGCTTTGCAGGACACTGCTGGTGAGCAAAATAACAACTCGTGAGTAATCTACTGCTGTGGACAACTAGCCATGGAGCAAGACAAGTTGATCACCCAGCAACCATCTACATTATCCAGCTATGACACAGAATAACTCCCTAATGAACTTCTGACCTTGATGCAGGACCATGATTGTTGTAGTGATAGACTCATGAATGGTTTTGATGTGAACTGTTCTGTGTGATCTATAGATCATATGGTTTGATGTGAACTGTTCTATGTGATCTATAGATCATATGGTTTGATGTGAACTGTTCTATGTGATCTATAGATCATATGGTTTGATGTGAACTGTTCTATGTGATCTATAGATCATATGGTTTGATGTGAACTGTTCTATGTGATCTATAGATCATATGGTTTGATGTGAACTGTTCTATGTGATCTATAGATCATATGGTTTGATGTGAACTGTTCTATGTGATCTATAGATCATATGGTTTGATGTGAATAGATGTTTGATGTGAACTATGTGATCTATAGATCATATGGTTTGATGTGAACTGTTCTATGTGATCTATAGATCATATGGTTTGATGTGAACTGTTCTATGTGATCTATAGATCATATGGTTTGATGTGAACTGTTCTATGTGATCTATAGATCATATGGTTTGATGTGAACTGTTCTATGTGATCTATAGAAAAGAGTTGGGTTAAGTACATCGACAAAGATGGTGATTATGTTAAAAAAAGTGTAAAATAAGTGTCTTTATTCTGAGGCTACAGACTTATTGATGTACCCATGTACACATAGAAATTAAATAATTTAATGACCCAAAGAAGTGAAAATTAACATGGAAGATAATTCAAATGACTAGGAGTAATAATCTCTATCTTGGTCATTCAGTTGATGAGATGTCATAGACAATATCATGATAAAAAAGCCAGCTCCTAGATTTCAAAGTACTGTCACATTTCTTCTCAAAGCCATCGAAAAACTTGTTCAAAAGGTTCATATACAAGGGTGAGTCAAAAAGTAATGCAAGTTGTTTTATTACATAAGAAATAATGAGCACAATCAAACATATTGTACATCAAGATGTAGTTTACATCACAGATTCACTACCTGACTTATCACTCTCAGCCTTCCATCTCTGGTCCAATGAAAGAAGCATTAAGGAGAAAACATTATGGTAGCAATGAAGAAGTGAAAACTGCTGTAAGGAATTGAGCAGCCAGCTGAGTTTTATGAAGATGGGATACATGCCTTTCTTCATAGGTAGAACAGTGTGATTAAAATAAGTGGTGACTATGTTGAGAAGTAGGGATGTGAACCTGTGATGTATAGCTATATCTTGATGTACAATATGTTTGATTATGTTCTTTATTTCTTATAAAATAAAACAAATTGCATTACTTTTTGATCTCACCCTCATACAAAAATCTGCTTCCACTCTTCTTTATAATTTTAAATTGACAAACCCAATGGGGTTTATTACCTACCTTACTAAATCATTCATTATTTTTACTTCATTAAATTTTCTTAAATTTTAAATAAAAATACCACAAGTTCTTGATGATGTTAAGCAATTCACTAAATCACTTAAAAAATATGTGTAATGTCAAAGTATTTTTTTTCCTAAAAGTCAAATTATCATACCTCGCTAGTCATGAGTGTAAAGAAAATGCTTCGTCTGACATCTGTGTTCATGCGTTGCTTGCGAGCAAGCTCCTGTAATTCCTGGCTGATTTTGCCTTGGTGCTTTGCCACTTTTGAAGGACCTGCAAAGGGAAATAAAAAATAAATGATAACTGCTTATTACTTAACTAACAGAAGTACTTGAGATTGCTTGAGAACTAATTTTGTCTAGATAAAAAGACAAACTGACACTTCAATTTATTTATATAGATTATTAAAATGACTAAGGGAAGTAACTACTAATTTATTCATTACCAAAAGTTGATTTACATCCCATAGAACAAGGCTTATAACCAAATCATATTGAAACATTGTTTCCCATAGGATAAGATATAACAAGCCTGGTCAGTACCTAAATGGGTGACCAATTAGGAATATTAGGTGCTGCAAGTTTGTATGTGTGGATGGTGTAATGGATAATGGCTTGGAATTGGAAATCAGAAAGCCAAGTTCCAATTTGAATCAGGTTTATTATATTCACTTATGCACAAATACCCTTAGGAAAGGTATGAATCCACCACTTCTCCCCCCCGCTATGAATGACTTAATAAGAATTGTATCAGTAAATTATTATTATCTCAAAAAAAAAAAAAAAAATTGTTGCAATCTAAAAATATTTTCTGGCTTTAGATAACTTGCAAAAGGTTGATAAGCCATAAAAAACAAATCAATCAACCAATACCACTATATTTTTACGTGGAAATAAATATTTAACTTCTATGGAAATGGCTTCTTTTGCTTTATTTTTTACCTTTTATGACCTTCAGGGTTGATCTATGCCAACTTTACATAGCCTATAACATGAAACAGGGCCACGTGCGATACACACTTAGGCAATCATGTATCTTTTAATACATGACTGACGAGGCAGATTTTTTTCCTCACAGTAGGTTGCCATTTCTTTCTGCAGTAGACCAGTCACCATCCAAAGCTATAGAACCCGGTTTGTCCTGCTATTTACCCATAGCTGGGGGAGAAGAAAAGGATTCATACCTTTCCCAAGGGTATTAGCACATAAGCGAATGTAATACCCTTGGGAGAAGGTATACTAAGTTTGGCTGAAAACCATCCAGTAGTTTCTGAGCCAGACAGACACTTCCTTTTATTTGTATAGATTCCTTTAAACATATTTACATGTATGTACCATATACTACTTCTATGTGCCATGTCCCTTCAAGGATGTTAAAAATCTCGGCTCTCCACAATTTCTTGTCCTTTGAAGCTCTTATTAAATTTTGTCTTTTGGTTATTTCTCCTAAACTCTGTTCTGTCATCCATGTACACAAGTTCAATAGGTAGGTTATGCCATATTTTTCTGTCTCTCTTGATTTCTATGTCCTGTGAGTGTCAAATTTTCCAAGCCCTCCTTCCTCATTACACACCTTAGAAATCTCAGCTCTTTCATATAAGTGTCCTTTTTGTTTCCATTTTCCTCAAAACTTAGTCCATGGTATTCTCAGTATTTGTCTGTAGAATCACATTTTTGTTCCTTCAAGTCTTTTCTTCATCTGTGATGAGATTGTCCAGTATGCACTGCCATATAGGAGGATTAATATTATGTAACAGTTCAGTACTCTTTTCTTTCTTTCTAACAAAATTTTCCTTTTTCTTAATATTTTGCTTACTGTGAATATATACAAATTAACAGAAATTTTATTCAGCTGTGATCACTGTGTCAATGTACATGCTATAGCTGCAGTCAAACACATTAGAGGATTATTTATGTAAATAATACAGAATATATACAATTATTTCAGGACACCAAGAATGAAGGTGAAAGTCATATGACCAGTCATTCAAGAAATTAAAATAAAAGAAAAGATGGTAAAAAGGAAAAAAACAAAAGTGGTAAAAAGGGACATAAAAAGGAAGAAAAAAGACAATAAAATGGAAGGAAAAAAGGCGGGAAAATGGAAAGAAAAAAAAGGACAAAGAAAGAAGGGAAAAGAAAAAGCAAATGGCTGGAAGCAGAAATAGTTTCAGATGTTATCCAAACTGAAGAAATAAGTACTATAGAAAAAACTTCTTAAATTGATATGCTTAATATCATAGATTATTACACTTACTGGCTGCAGGTTTTTGGTGTCTTCATTTCCCTTCCAAGCTGACCCAACAATCCACCATCGGCCTTTGGTCTCAGCATTTTGTAGGTCATCAAGCCGAACACGTAACTGATTTTCTTCAAGGTTCTGACCTACAAGTTTAAAAAAAATCAAAATTAATGAAAAAAAAGTGTTTGCAGTGTACCTTTAGGTGTCTAATAAAAAGGTGTCTTAATGATTGGTAGGGTTGCAATTTTTCTCAATATGCAATAAGCAGGGGGTCTTAATAAAATTGGGGGGAGGGAGGGTTAAATCATTTCAAGTGTCAAAATGTGCAGAATTAATAAACAGAGTGGTCATAATAAGCTTTCCTAAAAAAATAAATGTTCACCTACTCCTCATCTATTAGACACCAAAGTGTAAATAATACACAAGACAGCTAAACAAACCATTATGGATCTTTTCTAAACTTAAGTGAGTCTGGCACAACGCGACAGTAATAGCGCAGGATTGAAGATTATAATCATTTCACTAGTTAATATTGTACTAGGCAAGTTTACTGATATTGCACCAAGTTACATAGAAAGAAAAGCCATAATAGTTTGCTAAGTAAACTGAATTGGGATTTATTGGAAAATGATTTCTTTTACAAAAATATGAGGATTTTGTGGAAATAACTTTAATGTAGGTATATCAAGCAATAGGTTGTGAATTCATCTATATTATAAAAGAAAACCGATTCTCTGTCCATCACATGGGATCTGAATATGACTTTGCATGCGTATATTCAACAGAAATGTTTGGTTCATTGAGTAAATTTTTTTACTTAATAACTGAAAGTTTTTGGTCAACTCAATATGTCTGTGTTGTGCATGAGTGACTTACATGTGCTTGTTACATTTAATGTACACAGAAGCATATACATGTACACACACACATTGACTGAGTTTGAAATAAGATATTGGAATAGTATATTTCCCTCCCACTGAATCTGGATTATGCATTCCCTGAGATAGGCAAAGAGAAAAACTCAAAAAAATATCAGATAATTATAAGATTTTATTGAGCTTCTTGGATATTATTTAGTAATAAATAAATTATTCTTTAAATATTTTTTTAAAAATTTTTTATAAAACATAAAAAATTCTCATGCAAAAAACAGATAGCCTAGTTTATTTTTACATATATATATAATTTTCTAAGGTGTGACAGAGAGAGAGTCTGGGAAACACACACACGCACACACACACATATATATTTTTTAGATTTGAATAGCGAAATAAAATCAGAGCATTTTGTTTACTGATGGGGAAATCTGATCTAGGGCAGAAGTTGTACCCATTGAATTTGGGTCATCAGTAGACAATGGAAATGGTCGAAATAATTTTTAGCAATTAAAAATTGAAATAGAGCTGAGTAAGCTAAAAGGAACTTTGGAATTCACATGATTTTGGTTGAAGCAGCCAGAACCCCGTGATAACTGTGTGAAGTAGTAGGGCCAAGGGTCAGTTATAACCAGCCGGGTTTATCTATATAAACGCATAGTTATGCTGAAAAAGAGAGACGGGAGAAAATTCTTGAAGAGAGAATTTTTTCCCGGGCGAGCGTTGGGAGGAGGAACACCACTATAACTTTAAGCTCCACACAAAAATCTTTATCCCTCCACCGCAAAGAGTCATATATTGTTCTGAGACGATTTAGTAACAAGTTAATCACATACACTCTCTCTCTGCCCAGAATCCAGTGTATGAGTTTTTACATTAAATACTTTTCTTTTCTGTAACCCATTTCTTTTCTCTACTATTCTTTTCTGTTATATAAGAGACATTAACAATTCAACCATTGTATTGATGTTTGTCCATCTTTCTGCAGATATGAATTTTTTTTTGCTGCATTCTAAATTTCTTAGCGCAGACTCCCCAGCCGTGTCTACATCTTCAGTCGACTGTGAATGGATGGACATCACATCTGCTTTCTGGATCAAACAAATCACAATGTGGGCAGGAAGAAAGATTAAACCAGTGGACCGATCGAATAGTCTACAGATGCTCAGGGGACCTATGGCTACTCCCTTAAGTTCGGTTAGGACCGAGTAGACACCTTAACCACAAGAGTAAGACGCTAGAGGTGGAGGGGCCAGGTCGAAAGTTTTTAGAAAGGTAATGGATTTTTGTTTATCAGTCCAACAGATTTTTATCCCTTTAAATGTTATTTTTAGTGGTTACTCATATTTGAAGCGCCATTTATTTATTAAACAGTATATTTATTTTCATCTACTGGCCTGAATATTCGAAAAAAAATCATTAAGGAAAAATATGTGCTCTCCAGTAGGATTAGAACCTGTGTCCCTCTGAGCAAAGGGAAACTGTCGTCACAGCTGATGTGACTTAAACCAACTCAACCATAGACCAGCCTTACCAATCAAGCAAAGTCTGAAACATGTCTTTAAGCAAAATCCCTCTTGTATTGAATTCATTATAATTTTCATATCTGCTCAAATGAGTTTCCTTCTGTTTATGAAACTCTGAAGTCAAAATGTTGAACATAAAATCAATCAGCTAAGTGAGAAATTTTATATTAATCCTATATATATATATATATATATATATATATATATATATATATATATATATACAGTGTAACCTGGATATAAGAGAGTTGTCAGGACCAGAGAAGAAGTCTCTTATATCCGGTTTTGGTCTATTTTGTTTAGGTAAGTATGGGGAACACTTTGGGACCAGAGAAAATCTCTTATATCTGTTACACTGTGTGTATGTATATATATATATATATATATATATATATATATATATATACATACATACACTAAAAAGTTCTTAGCCAGATCAAGAAGACCTCCCTCAGGAAAATCTAATGTTTGGTCAGATATTGAGAAATCTCAAAATTTGACCAAATGACCAAACATCATTAAACAGAAATAACTCATTATCCTGAGGTACCAAATAGAAGTGGAAGGGGAGGGTGTTTATTTTTTGTTTTTTTTATTTTATTAATATTTTGAGGAATGTTGCAGAACTCTCTTTTATACATGCATGTATGCACACTTTACTTTTAATTCAGTTTTACCTTTTAATTTTTTTTTTTTTTTTTTTAACTCAATGGTTCTTAGATTCTCAAGCCATGTTCCTCTTTTTGCAATCCCCAGTTTCCTCATTTCCTCCCCATCTTGAATAATAATCTAATAATTGTTTTACCATTAAATTTTACAATGGTAATTACTGAAACAATTTATGAAACCTAATTGCTTTATTAATTACAATCAAATGAAAAAGATAAAAAGGAAAATCTTCATTTCAGTGGATCAAAACTTATATTGAATTTAATGTCTAATTCACTCCTTAGCTAAAATTCCTCCAATTAGATTTGAAATTCTTCCCTTGCCCCATCCCACTGTTTGTTTTTGCTATTGTTTTCCACTTTAAATGTTTATAAAAAGTTTTACATATTTATTCCAGACTGAAGGGAATGTTAAAAAAAAAAAAAAAAAAAAAAAAAATTATTTGTCTACAAATAAACCACCATATTTTCTTGTATTGTTTCAGAATAAAAAGTGACACAAAATGTAAAATGATGAGATAATCACTCTTACTTTCTGATAAGATAGCAGTCTGAAATTAATAAACAGGTAGGTCTTAATAAGGTCAAGGTAAAGAGTCAGAAAATTTCCCAAAAAAGAAAAAAAAAAAAAAAGTGAGCGAAAAAGAAGCATCCCCCCAAATCAGAGTAAGGGATTATTTCTATTTAATGTATGGGGCAAAATAAATAAAAATAAAAATTGTTCAGTAGTAATAATAAAAGCAAAAACTGATTGATCCAACATCCATTAAATGAAATAAAAAAAAAAAAAATATTTTTAAAAAATGAAAAAGTCATTAATCCAAAATTCAAACCTCTGATCAGTCTGCTGGTCAATTTTTTGAGTCGTAATAAAAGATCTACACGGTCTTGGTGGTCACCCTTCTGAACATTATTGTTCTTCACAGCCAGCATGGTGTCCAAAATATATCTCATACGACCAGGTTCTTCAAATGTTGAGGTGTCGACTGTGGATGATTTTCGTTGAATGCTTAAGATCACATCTTTCAGTTCACTCGGGTCATCCTTACGCAATTCAAATCCACTAACTACAAAAAGATGCAAAATATGCATAATTTAGCAAATTGAAAAACAATTTAGCAAATCTGAAAGCCAGACTCTAACAAACCAGCCTTATAAATAAAATTAAAAATAAAATAAATCACTTGATACTGAAAATACATCATCACTTGGTTAGATTGCAACTATTCCTAAAAGAGTATGCAGGAATCAAAATAAATACAGGTCTAGAATTTTTTTCACTATTTATTAGCAACTGAACTCTAAAATCAAAGAAGCATGAACTTTTCTAAGTTTTGATGCCTTTAAATATTGTATGGAATTCTGAGATCCTAGCATTACTCAAAGACTTGTTAAAACTAGTATTCACATCCTTCCAGTTATCACTAAATTTTGGCCAATGGGCTCTTCAACCTTCCTCACATTTTTATTTCAAACAGTAAGGTCATTGTTTCTCTTAAAAGAAAAATTTTAAAAACACAAACTTTGTGATTTATCTTTTAATAGTTTGACAGATGAGATGTTCAAAGAAAAGCTACAACTGGTTCTAATAATTCATGTCACATGGATCAATTGAAAGCAGTGAAGAAATCCAAGCATTGAAGGCTAAAACACAACTGAATGCAGACCTAGTCATGTTACAAATTTTGTGTAGCATTCTACACAGTTTAGAGCTCTACTAGACTTAAAAATTTTGAATTACACACCTTAATTCTTACTGCTACACCTTTCGCAATCTGCAAACAACTTTCCATTTTTTGATATTCTTTCTTGCTAGATAAAAAGGGTAGAATAAAGTGCTTGCTGAAATTCTTGAAAGCAATATTTCCAGCAGCCTTCTCCTTAGACTCTTTGTACTGACATCACACTCAGACTTGCTGACTTGTTTTCTCTCTTTTCATGTGGGAAGGACATCTTTTTAGACTGTTTTCTGTAGCAGATTTTTTTTCACAAATGGATCCAGGGTTCATCCATGCAAGTGAACTTACAAGAGGGTATCTAAGGGAAACTTTGCCAGAAGTTTCTCAATGATGGCGATGAACATTGTTTTTGTTGCAGTTCTGCATAGAAACAGATCTTTTGTTTACACATTTCCTTTTTTGGATGAATTTTATCTAGCCGTATCTGCCAGAAATCCACACTTGATCTTTGCAGCATCTTTATGTATGTTTGGATTTGACAAAATTCTTAGAAATTCATTCAATTTGGAAAATGTAATTATCTTTTTAATGTGCTCTTCCTTTACAAATCTTCTTACTTTTATGAGCATGTGTAAAAGATCATCTGTAAGGAAAGGAAACAAAAGTTTATCACTCTGGTATTTTATCAAAAATGGTTCAATGGTCTTTAGAAACAGACAAAAATCTGCAGCTTCACTAGAAATAAAATGTCATTCATGTTTGACAGCACCACAGAGGACTTGGTCTAGGGACATTTTTTGTTTTTTTTTAATTAAGTTCACAAACTTGATGACATCTGGCCAAATGTCTAGGAGTCATTCACATGTTAGTACGTTTTCTAGCCATCTATGGCAGCAATACAAAATTAATGGGACAGGGTTGCCAAATTGAACTTTTAAAGCCAAGCAATAAAAGCAAAATAAGTTTTAATATATTTCATCATTTTTTCACACTTACAACAAATGCTAGAGATACAGGTCATTATTAGCATGAAAACATTAAAACTAACATTCTTCTTATTTTTTTCAAAGATGCATTTTCTATCCTATCCTAAGATACATCAAAGGCACATTTTCTACTCTATCATCCTTCCTGTCTACATTTTCTTTTAGTCAAATTTGATTCTCAAACTTGTTACTTTTGGCAAAAATTTAGACAAATGTTTACAAATAGATACACATTGATATGCATAAAGTATCTTTATTTTCAGCATGAACTCACCCACCACTGACTAGAGATCAAAAGGAATTTTTACTTTTAAAATTAACATGTGAATAAAATTTCTTCAGTTGCTCAAATTTTAAAACTAATAAATTTTTCAAGATTCTACTAAAATGTATTTTATTACTGTAAAATAATTTATTATTTTCCTTTCAACTACAAATTTAATAAGTGTGAATTAATTTATCTTTAACAGAGATGTTTACTTGTCTCAGATGACTTTTATCTTTGCTTTTCGCCTTCATATTCTTTCTCCCTTTCTTTTGCATTACCTAGACCACAAAATACAGAAGTAACTATGAGGTTATGAACTCATTCTAATCAAGGAATCAAGCCACTGTTCACAATAATTGCCAAATATTACTGATGATTTCTTAAAGGACAATTTTAACTTGTAAAAAAGCCACATTTCTGGGATTTTGCATTTAGACATACATAAATTCAGAAAAAAGGTGTGCAGGCAGCATAATTTAGAAAATTCTAGGACTTTTCAAAGAAGCTTTTGGGCTGTTGCCGTTTTTCCAGGATTTTTCAGGCCCTGAATGCATGATGACTTTGTCGCAGTGTGCCCAAACACCACTCCCACCTTTTCTTAAACAACCCCGGATATGCCTGCCGGTAGAGAAAGGTCACGACCCTTGTGTGCTAAAAATAGCAACGACATCCTTTCAAACTGATAGAAACACACAAAACTCAATTTTCGCCACTAAACAAAAATAAAAGACCTTTAATTTCGAACCAAAATTAATTTAAATACAGTCAACAAACACCGAACGCACTTTTGACTGTAATTAATCCGGCCCGAAATTAATTATATTCATTTACTTGTTTAGCGTCACCGCTTCTCTTGTATGAACCGTCATATGTAGATGCCCGAGACTTCGCACCGGTTTTTAGCCGGCCAGGGAGCAGGAAGCCTTCCTGATTCGCGACTTTGACACACCCAGTCAAGTCGACCAAGCCCAGCAGCTGACGGGACCCAGCAGCAGTAGCAGCAGTTGTTCAAACAGTCCTTTTCAGGGCTAACGTCCGAAAGTCATTTGATCACCACTCTTCAAGGCTCCACTCACTTCACTCTTTGCTACTGCCTTCCCTCTGAGACGCCAGCTCACTCCTGCAGCCTCCAGCTCACAACGGACCATCTGCGTTTGTCATCCTTCTTTGCTATTGCCATCTCCTTGCCTTTGTGTCCCCTATTTTAGTTGTACGGTTGATTGGCACTCACACCTCTCGGCCCGCTGCAACAACTTTGATCCAGACTTTTAATAGAAATACATTTTTTTTTAGTTCAATGCTTAGCAAAAGAATTTTAAACACCTTAATATATCCACAGATGCTCACTTCTTTGTATAGTTGTTTTTGTAGTTGCTAGCACAATGTTTCAGCTGATCTATGCTGTCAACCATCACCAGATATAATATATGAGAACAAAAGAAGTCAGTACATTAATGAACAGATTCTGATGCCAGTTTGAGTTTTCATTTTTTTTTTTTGTCTCCACAAATTACACTTGACAAGGATTGAAGAATGGATCTGAAGAAACATTACCAACAAGTAGGCAAAGAGATTCACACATCTAAACAATGTCGAATACCATAACTTTTCTCAAAGTTAGAGAAAGGAGAATTTAATTTATTTCTAATTACTTAAGTCTAGAAATAAACTTTCCTACAGTTACTAAATAAACACTTAACAAAATTACCATTAAACTATTAAAGGAGGAATTTATTAGTGTATAGGGTATAAACTCCTATATTTAACAGCCAATAAGTGAAGCAAAAACAAGTAAGAGATACCTACAAATATATCTTATTAAATTTGGTAGATACAAAAAACTTTTGAAATTCTGTACAAATGCAGGTCCAAATTAAATAAGTGGTTTCTGGAACCTGATTGAATATGACAAGTCACGTGATGTGTTCTCTACTATGTCTGTGTGGTTGAACTCTGAATGACCTCAAAAAAGGTCAAGTCTCGGGTTACTGAGTACAATCTTACACAAAACTTAGATAGAATTTGTGAGCCAAGCACTGACTGTCAAATAGTGACAAAAATGGCTTGATCAGCAACAGTCAGTGACCAGATCTACAATGACACAGACCAATGAAGTACAGTCAGCAACCAGATATGCAACAATACAATCAGTGAAAGACAGTAGGCAAAAGAGAGTCAGCAAACCAGACCAGGCTTTGATTAACAACAAGTTTAGACACACGTTACCATGACAACGCATCAGTCAGCCATGATTTTTCTACATACAAAGCCACAATGAAAGTAAGTCCTATATTCCCTCAATTTGTTCAGTGTCCTAAAAATTACTGCTACCACACAATCAGTCACACATGTTTCATTAGCGTGTTCTTCACAAGTACATATTGGCATACCATACTACTTGATTTCCTCACTTCCAACAAAAACACTTTGAGACTTTGCAGACTCATAACAAATCATTTCAAACAATCAAACTATTGATCTCTTCATGGACACAACAAAGAACATTGATCTTTAATATGTAAATACATGTATCTGGCTGTATAAATACATGTATCTGGCTGCATAAATGTTACTATCATATTTAGTTTGGTTTTATTCCTTTTCTGAGAAGATCATTTCTTCACGTTGTATAAAAAATTGTGTTGTATTTGTGGACATGACACTCAGATTTTATTTTTCCATCTAAAATCCAAGTAGACTGACTTCACAACTGTTTTATAGTGTCACTAATTTCTCTTTTACATATGCTGGATTTTTCTAGTAACATTTTTAGTTAAAAATCAAAACACACACAGACACAACATTCATGGATTATGTAGAATTAATTTGTCTATACTGAAAAATTGATCAAATATATATTTTCAATTAAATTATGATAATGAAAAATAATAAATAAACTTACTTTATAAACAAATATTACAAATGACAATACAAATTTATACTTTATTTATTTTGTATGACAATTCTTGAAATAATGAGTGATACACATGGCATCATTACATTTTTTATACTGATACTTTGTTTCTTTTTTTCAGGTTGAGAATTCACAACACAAAAAAAAAAAACAATTAGTAATAAAAAGAAAAAAATAATTAAAAACTGAAAACTAGCCTTCAGGTCTCTCATTTGTAAAATTATATGCCATGTGGTTGTTATGGCATGAAAGCACGAATGTCTACTGCTCTCAAGAAGAGAACAGGATGAATATATCCAGTTCTATATGCCTTGTATAGAATTAAGATAAGCCAGTCAGACAAGCCAATTTCAAAAACTCAAGTCACTTGAGTTGGTTCTCCATTATCAAAAATATTAAAAAGAAATTGACAAAATAGCTAAAGACTTACAATTATGAATTCAACCATATTAACTATTTTAAAGTTCAGCTATTCTTAATGAGGGAAAATTTTATTCAAATTTATTTTCTTTATACAAACTTATTAACATATAATGTTAAGCTTAACAATTCAGACTGTATTTTACAAATGTTTGTATGGCAATAAAAATAGCTTGCATTTTAAAGTGAGTTTAAAATAAAATCAAAAACGAAAAATACAATGTTTACTTACACTTGAAAACAATAGACAGGACCTCAACATCTTTTTCTTGAAAGTTTTCAATGAAAAGTTTCATAAGGTCAAAGATAAGGGAACAATGAAAAACCTGCAATGGATAAAGTAATTTGCTTAAATTCACGCCTATAAACATTTTTCTTTTCCTTACCAGATCAATATTTTGAATGGAGTTATCTCCCTTCACCTCTAAATTAATTTTTCCACCCAATGTTTCATTTCAATGAATTGAGGCGATTTTGAGAGTAATTACAAATCCTACCAGGGTTAATTATTGGCCGTCACAATCTTAACGATATTAGATATGAAGACGAGACAATGTTGATAGCAGACACGGAAAGTAAACTATAAGATCACCTACAGAAGATAGTAATGGAAAGTGAGAAGAAGAAAGGACTATCAATTGTAAGAAGAAAGAATGGATGGTTGTAAACAAAAGGTACAACCTAAGATGCAAATTACAAATTGCAGATACCAAAATCAAACAAGTACAAAAATTGAAATATCTAAGTGTTTGAAATCCAAAGATGTGTTGGAACAGCAAAAGATGCCTCCAAAAAGTTAAGCAAAGTATTAAGAAACAGGAAAATTTAATTAGAAACAAGGAAAATAGTACTGAATTGTTATGTAATATCAGTTCTCCTGTATGGCAGTGAATGCTGGACAATCTCCTTACAGAAGAGACGTTTGGTAATAGAAATGTGGTTCTACGGAAGGATGCTGAGAATACCATGGAGAGAACATGTGAGCAACAATGAAGTTATAAGGAAAACAAAAATCAAAAAGAATCAGAAAGAAACCGTTGAAATTTCTAGGGTACATAATGAGGAAAGAGGGCTTGGAAAATTTAACACTCACAGGACATATTGAGAGCAAGAGAGACAAAGGAAAGTAGAGAATAACCTACCTAATGAGCTTGTATAAATGGAAGGCAGAATAGGGATTAGAAAAGATAGAAAGACGACATAAGTTGTGGAGAACCATGATTGCCCACATCCTAGCACATAGAATATATATAAAATAAAAAAGGCTCAAACACTAATATTCCATGGTTATAATTTATTACATTGGAATTGTAATCATGATCCAATTCATCAGACCTACAAATTCAAAAAGAAATCGGAAAATTACAATTCCAATGTAATAAATTATAACCATGGAATATTAGTGTTTGAGCCTTTTTTATTATAATCTTACTCTGTCTTGGACATTGAGTTCTACCCGGATTCTATCTCCTTGGGAATTTATTTATATATATATATATATTGACCACTAATATTTTATATATATATATTTTATATACATATTATATATATATTTATATATATTTTATATATACATATATATTTTATATACATATATATATATATAACGACCACTAATATTATCTATCTATATATATATATATATATATATAAGAATCATGAAAATGTTGCTTTACTTTATTTTTATTATTTTATTCAATCTTGAAATGAAAGAATGAAAAACAGAGATAAAGAAAGAGAGATAATTCATTCACCAAAAGCATACACTGTACACAGCCTATTAAAAAAAATCTCTGACTACATTGGGCAAGTATCCATTTGCTAGATTCCATCCTTAAAACTTGAATGCCATTGCATAAAATCATGTAGATATACAATATATATTTACCTATGTAGCTACAGTCCTCACTAGCAAATGAAAATTAATTTTTCCACTTCATAACGGCCTTAAGAACTACATATTTAACTCATGACGTTCAGGACAGACTAATTTTTACTTTAAAAAGTAATTGGATGCCCAAATATTTTTGGTTCAATCCAAAATCAGAACTTAACTCATGATGCTCAGAAAATAACATTAAAAAAATGTATATACACAAGCTAATTCATTAAAGAGATAAAAGAAATATAAACTGGGTTTTTAGAACTGAAATCAATTATCTAAGGCCCAGCATGATTTTCCTTCATTGTTGATTACAATTTTCTCTCATTTATTTATTACTGATAAGAAATGCTTAATCAAAAACATTCCCAAAGATATACCCACTAAAAAAAAAAAATAACTTTAACTATCTGACTAAAAATAAATTGGGGTTTTAATTTGTGGAAATATCAGCCAATTTGTACATCACAAAAAAAAAAAAAACAGCAATATTCTCTGGATTTGTAGAGTAAACTGATTCCACTTTTTCTCAAATAAACAGAAAATGCCATCATATAGATTTGGCAGCCATATTGTTTGTCATTTGGAGTGGAAAAAAAGCACTAGACAACACTTATGAATTAACAAATGACGGAAGATCAAAAAATAGATACTTTCATGAGCTTTTGCAAGATTGACACCCATGACCAAAAAATCCAAAAATCATGTACTGAATAACATCTACTTAGAAAAGAAAAATAATTAATGATTTGATAGGCAATACCCTTTCTTCATATTGAAACAAAATGGTGAAAAAAAAATGTTTTAAAATTTCATATAATTAATGCAATAATAAAAATACTTCAGATCAAAACTTTAGACGTTCAGAAAGTGTATAATCTGCCTTTGCATTATATAAATCAAATTAAGAAAAGCAGAGTTTAGTGTTGGCATTACAATGAATTCAAATTTAGATTATATGAACAAAAGAGATCTTTTGCAAAACAACACACTGACAGAAAATTGAATACTTCCCTTTAACATAATGAATAGCATATTGACAAAATGGTGAAAAAAAAATGTTTTAAAATTTCATATAATTAATGCAATAAAAAACTTTAGACGTTCAGAAAGTGTATAATCTGCCTTTTGCATTATAAAATAAATTTTTAATGCAGAAAAGAAAATAAATAAAATAATGCTGAATAAAAAAATTTGAATAATCATGGCAATTCAAGCTTTTTTAATGACCTTTTGAATTTGGACGTAATGAAGAAAAAGGATACAAGGGAGAATACTCACTTTGAAGTTATACATACAACACAACAAAGTCATAATATTGTTGAGTTCTTTCCCTTGTTTTTGATGTCGATGGTCCTGGAGTTTATCCACTAATTCCTGAACGAAATAAGCGCCTGAAGTAAAAACAAATGAAATATAAACAAAAATGTTTTTGAAGAAATGACGTAACTAAGAAAATAATAAATAATTCTATAATCGTTCTCAAAATATGATGAATGATTTAAGATGAAATCAATTGAATTTAATGTACCATATTTGATAAATTGGAAGAATCCCTTTCATTATTACAATATTATGGAGTTAAGCTCTGCATTTACTAGTAGTTTATGGCATCTGAGTAAACATTAACCGCCTAGATACCTCAATTTCACATATATAGGAGATATACAAATATAAAGTATATTCAAATATAATAAAAGTGATTTGAGTTTTCTTTTTCTTTTAAATCAGGACAGCATATAACTATACATTGCTCCAACTTTTAACCATTAATTATTGAAGTTGAAGTTCAGTTTTAAACACTATAATATTGGCCTTTAATAATCAAAATATTCACACAATGGCTTCCAATTTATCTATCAGGGATTCTGTAGCAAGCTGTGTTGATTTGTTTAATTGTCTAATAATAATAATTTCAGTTATAGGTATGAATAAATGAACTGTAAGCTTTCACATCAATTATACAGGGTGTCCATAAAGTTCGTGTGCACTTTAAAAAATTTGCCATAAAAATAATCTGTAAAAAATGTTATAAAGTTTAATTTACCTAGTTTTAAGTATAGCTGAAATAACTAATGTGATTTCAGGCATTACTGTAAATCAGTTGGTAAATGTTTTCCATGAACTGCAAAATCATATTACCCTTTGTATTGCTAATGACGGAGGACATGTGGAAACTTAAATAAAATTTCAATAAAACTTTAAAAATATAGATTTACTTCTTTCTAATCCTTTTTACAAATTATTTCTATCGCAAATACAAATAAAGTTATAAATTTTTTAAAGTGCACACGAACTTTATGGACACTCTGTATATTAATTATGGCCTAGCTTGGCACAAAATCACAATATTAAATGTTAATATTAGCCATTTCCTTATAAGTAAACATTTGGCATTCATTGATTGAGCAACCAGTGCTACTTTTGGTTGAATTTATAAAATCTTTCTCTTAAAACAATTTTTCAGGGAAATGGGTTTCTCACCTCGACTATTGTCATTCTTTCTAACATTGATGGGTGCTTCCTTCCTAACTTTTTCTTTGTAGAAGTAGAACATTAACATTTTGATCATGTCATTATTTTCTCTGAGTTACATATGCTATCCATTATAGTTGTTGCTATTGAAAGTCCTCAAGTGATGTCATTTCTGTTATTTGGTACAGTACTTTGTGATTCTGTAGCACCAGTCTACAAAGTTCAAAGGATGATGATCCCCTCTAAGACCTACAGGCTTTATTTGCTCAAAGCTATTTTTAATCATTTACACTATTTACATCGTTTATACTTTTGTCCTCATCTTTATTTCCATATTCACAACGTTTCGGCCACTGTATGCACTGGCCTTCTTCAGGTGATATACATTGGAATTTTAAACCAAACCCTTTATTTAGTCCAGAGTAGATTGTTCTAATTCTACATAGCATGCTTCTTTTTTTTGATATCTCAATTTCAGTTCATTCCCTTTAGTAACTCAACTCTCCAAGTTTTTGTTCCCTCTACTGTGGCAAGGTATTGAACTCACAACTCTTTGGGTCAAGTCACTTTTTGGATCACTCAACCAATGCTTACATGGCACAGTGGATAAGCTGACAGTTTAAATATTTCTGAACAGATTGAGCACCGTACATGACATCTATATGAGTCTCAACGTGACAAGACTATTTAAGAACAGGACTCAAGTTCTTAGGTTAATGTTTTGTAGCAACTTGCAGTTTCAAGAGAAAATATCCCTAGTGCAGCTTATTCCGTGTTCAATTTCCTTATCTCCTATGCTAAATTTGCTATAACAGATGCATCCACTGAGGTTTTTGAAGCGTTTAGTATTTACTAATTAAACTCCTGAATCTATATTATGAATTGAAGGTATTTGCCATCATTGCTTTCATTCCAACTTCAGATCATAGTTTCTGTTTTGGAAAAGTTTATCTGGAGTTCTATTTCTTAAAACACTTGGTAGAAGATGCTGATTTTTTTTGTACAATATCATTCTTATTCTAACTATGAATACTTATATCATCAGTATAACTCCATCCTGTTTATCATCAGTATATTGGTCTCAAGAAGAAGACAGAAAATACTGAATATTAAAAATTTCAACAATAAGATTCACAATTATTCAATTCAGTAACTCTTTCTTCCTTAACAATTTAGTGAATACATCATGGTTTACTACTTTCCATAGTTATAAAAATTAATTAATTTGTAAATTGTTGCTCTTTCTGAAAAATCAAGTAAAGTCATCTGTTTAAGGACAAGTGCAGTTGTATGTATCTCACTAACCCAGTATTCTTTGATCTGGAAACTTCCAAGGTCTGGCATATTTTGAACATGCCAGAATTAGTTTGTGAATCTGTCACTAGACTTCATCAATTCTGTTTCAAACAAATTTGAACCATAATGTAGCAGTTTATAAGTCAACTCAAACTGAACATGTAAAAAATCACACCATGATTAGAAACCAACTTTTGATATTTATTTTAACATCAAAATAGATATTTATAAATTCTTTTTTCTGAATTTTATAAATTTTCAATACAGCTATTTGTTATAATTTATATCAGTTATATTTAAACTATATCATTCTAGTTTGAACTATTAAAAAAACTAAAATATCAATAAATTGCTAAAATTTATTATCTAACAGAATGAAAAAAATAATTCAGTTGACATTTATAAGTTTAAGAAAATGGTATGTCAAAAGGACCGTTTTTCTCTTGGCATCATTATTACTGTATACACTCTCAGCAATTTTTATTGTTCTAAAAAGCTATTTTTAAAATTTTAATAAAACCCAAATATATGAAACTTTATTTATACATTCTTTTTTCTTGAGAAATGACAACAAAAGAAATTTTATTAGATTGTTTAAAGAATAATTTTATATTTACAAATTTGTAAAAATGTGAACCAACTAAAATGCACTATTTATCATTTACCCTATTATAATGAAATAACTATGAAAATAATTCTATTCATAAATTTATAAAAATGTATGTGAACAAGAAAATTTAAAACACATAACAACAAGTAACTGTAATAATTATTTTGAAAAATGTATTTTCCAGGCATTTCTTTCATTTGCTCTCACAACATAAAAATCATTAAAATAGTTTGCAAGCATCTAGATTTATACATTTTCTTTTGTTTTTTTTTTCTTGAGAATTGACAACAAAAATGTGAAATTATTTATATACTGTTTAGTTACAAGTTTAGTATTAATTACTTTTGTTATCAATTCTTGAGAAGAAAAGAGAATGAATAAATCCAGTTTCATGTTTAGATTTTATTAAAATTAAAAGCCAATTAGTTAAAGTCATTTTCTGTACAAACAAATATTTTTGACAGTAAAGAAGAATTTGATGATTAAACACAGGATTTTACCAGTTGTTATACAGGGTATAGCAGAAATAATTCCTCCTACATAACAGTAAGTCATTAGCAGCAATGGTGTCTTCATCTAGCTAATGTCTTACCATTATGTGAGAAGTATTTCTGCTACAACCTGTATTACCAAAATCTTGCTTTAACAGGTTTTGATATTTAATCTATATATTTTGTATTGAAGATTGGGAAGAATGTGAGTGTTGAAACTTAAGAATAAATACAAACATAACTAATAAACAGAATGAAAATACCACATGTATAATAATTAACTATTATTAACATTGTAGAGTTGGATTCAGCATACTTCCAGCTCTTCCCCATTTCTGTGACAATGGACTGTTCCTACTTATAAATATGGCAAGTAGCCACATTAGAGTAGGATTTGAGTAGTATTTAATTTACTCAAGTTTTTCTATTGTATATATGAATATTTAATAAACCTTTTCTTCTTTGTTTCCTCTGTCTAGTCTTTTGTTCCTTTAATACTCTAACTACAGCCTTCCTAATTCTCAGTTATTTTGAACAAAGACAAAATTACAATAATTAGTTTAATAGCATTTTCTTATAGTTCTCTACTTCTCCCCCAAGAAATGGAATTTTAACTCAAAAAGTTTGAATACTTATAATTACATACCAATTTCTTGACCAATGTTACAATGAATAATTGTGATCAGGACAGCCAATTCCAAGAGGAGTCTGTCAAGAGTGTTTTCATGTTGAATGGCCGTACTGCAGATAGCTGACAACAAAGCACTGTTGAGACCAGCCCGACTATTATGATTATACAATTCTTCTAGTTGTTCACACATGATAGCCATGTTTGATTCATTGACTCTGAAAAGACAAATTACAATGACATTTGTTCACATTTAAATAAATGTACAAGTAAATATAGAGTAATGTCTAGTATTAGAGAAAGAAAATATGAAAATAAAGAAAATTCCAATTCTACAGATTCAATCACAATAGAAAGTGCAGTAAATATTCTTAAAATCCTTATCTCCATACTATTTTATTTGCATAAAATTAGCCAACAAAGTTTGACATAAATACATGCAAAAAAGTGGTGTCAAAAAAAATCTTTTTTTCCTTTTGATATTACTATTACTACATACACTATCAACAATTTCAATATTTTAAAAACATATTTTGAGAATTTTAATAAAATACAAACATATGAAACTGAATTTAGGCATTATCTTTTTTCTCAAGAATGATAACAAAAGAACTAAGCATTGTTTATTTACAATAATTTTATATCTACAAATTTATAAAAATGTGTGAACCAACTACAATAAAATATTTATCATATTATAAAGAAATAACTCTGAAAAATTTTTTATTCATTAATTTATAAAAATGTCTATAAGAGAACAAGAAAATTTAAATAAACTCATAACTGTAATTATAAATTTTTTAAAAATGCATTTTCAGGCATTTCTTTCATTTGCTTTCATTTTTTTGCAGATACAAATGTCAAACTTTGCCAATAACCAATGTTCTAGAATAAAACTTCATTACAAAAAAATACAGCATCCAAAATAAAAAAACAAAATTGTAAATTAAATTAACAACATTATTAATTTAATACAGGATATTAAAGATGTGTACAGACCATAGCTTTTAATTGCTTTTGCACATCTATGACCTCAGGACTTCACTAATCTGTGCCATTGTTCAGATAGGATTTTAATTCCATCCTGCCTGCAGTTTTTGCAACAAATCGGTTAGTAACATTGTTTTCTTGTCCTTATATTATTCTTGATGAATTCCTAAAGCATCTCAATTGGACCAAGAGCTGGACTTTGTCATAACTTTTACATTTTCAGCTTTGAAGAATTGTTTGATTGATTTTGTAGTATGACAAGTGACATTATCTTGTATAAAGATGGGCTCTGAAACAGACAATGTTCTTAGAGAAAGTATAACATGCAGTTAAATAAACTTCTTATGCATTGCAGAATTTACTTTGTCAGGTAACTGAGTGGACCAATTCCAGAAAATATACCACAACAAAATCTATTACCATGTTTGAATTTAACTGATTTTTTTTTCCCACATTTTGGAAGTAGTTCTTACTTTTACACCATCTGATATGCTGCTTATGATCAGAGTCAACTAAATTAAACTGACTTTCACTACTGAAAAATACTCTTGCTCAATTTTTGTCTGTCCAGACACCATACTCATTTGCAAAGGCTCATCCAGCATTTTGTTTTTTCTTGCTGAGGAAAAATTTCATGAATGTGCATGAAGTCCTGCTTCAAATAAATGACACAACGCTGTCTGTCAAAATACTTTTGCATCAAATTTTTCGGTTACCTGATATTCAGTGCCCATTGCTGTGTGAAAACCATCAACTATGAAAAGTCTTTGAATCACCCAATTATGCCAAGGAGTTAATTTACATGGTTGCTCTGGTGTTTTAAGGAACTTAATGGTACTGGTATTATCATAAAGATTTAATATTCCAGAAATTACACTCTTAGGTCAGGTAACTACTTTTAAAATAACAGAAATCATCATCACTAAAATTTCTGGTATGATAACCTGAAAGACAATCCTGCAAATAAATAAGAAATATTTGTTTACATTGTAATTTTGCTTTTTTGTTGGGAACTATTGTATTTTTTCTTTTTTTTTTTTTTTTCAAATCATATAAATAAAAAGATTTGTTCTGTAATTTTGGATACTACATTTTAAGATCAAAAGAGAAAGGAAGTGAGATGAAAATGAGAGGAGTGGTGGGGTGAGAGGGGAAAGAAGTGAATGAGAGAGAAGGGAAGAGAAAAAGAATGAAAACAATTATTAGTAGTTCCGATCTCAAACTAAAAGCAGATCAAAAAATTCCACAAAGTCAAACTATAAAAAAAAAATCTTTCACTTACCTGTTGATAATACCTTTAATCTGTTTGCTAATACGTTCATCAGTTTGGTTATTAGTGGGCATTTTTCTCAGCGCAGGTGGGACATAGCTACTTGTCTGTGCCTGTGTTACAATATTACCCTCTGTATCTCGAAGACGCCCATAAATATCTTCTTGAAGTTTCACCTTATTGGATAGCAAAGACTCAGCTTCTCTGGTGCCAGCTGAAGCAGCAGGTGGAGAATCTGAGAGAGACTCCCATTTTACTTTCTTGTTTATTTTCAGTTCCTTTTCTTGGTTCTTGAAAGAGTCTGTTTTGCGTTTTAAGATGGGCTTGGTTAGTTTCTCAATCCCTTCTGAAGTTTCATCACAAAAATCCTCATCTGCTTGAGTAAAGAATATTTGATATTTTACTTGTTATTAAAAATTATTTTGTCAGGTCTCATATAAATATACTCACTGTAATAATTGTGCACTGATTATTAAATATTTTTTAAGAAAAATTCCAACTCTGCCAACTCTTATTCCAACCCACATTTATTTATTTTCATGGAAACTTCCTAGGAAAAAAAATTCAATTTCTACGAAAATGATCATTTAGAATTGAATTGCAAAACTCATTTCATACTGATTCTAAAATTTCATTTAAATCATAATTCATTCAATTTAAAAAAAAAAAAAATTTGAATCCTAGTAAATCAAATTGATTAATTCATTTTCTACAGCTTATCAATCCATTTCACTTTATTTAAAGCTCAGAAATATTTTTAGCGTGTAAGAAAATTTTTGTTGAGATAATAGTTTGGTGATACAAGTCTCGCTAATTAACCCATAGCTGGAGGGAGAAGAGGTAAATTCATACATGATAAATTTTGTATGTTTGAGGTTTCAGTGCTGACTAGACATTGCAAGGCCTCAACAGTCAGAGAATAAAAATTAGAAAACCATAAAATTTTCAAAAGGTACTGTTAGTAAAAATATATAAAGTCTGCCAATGTTGATTTAGATAAGTTATTTTACCAGCACACCAACTCCATGGGTTATCAATGGTAATGAGAGATTAAATAGAAAAGATATGCTGTATGTAATGAAGAGGAGAAGACAACTCTGCCTTTTGTTACAATGAACTTGGCAGTAACAAGGCCAATTCTCTCTTCCACACACTTTGAAATTAAATATAACAAGAGAATTGAAAACAAAAAATACATAACAAAAAAACTGACCAGTCTCTCCTTCTCCTGCCTCCTCTGAGAGAGGATTATCATCTAAAGAGCCATCACTTGCTACAGCCTCCATGCCCGAGTCTTCACCTTCTGATTGGTCTTCATCAGACTGATCAGAGCCAGAGTCATCATAAGTAACTGCATCAATGGGGGCATCACTAAATTCACTATCTCCTGTAAAGTTGAGTATATCTGAACATAAGGATAAGGACAATAATCATCAAGGGAAAAATAAAAAAAATTTAAAAAAAAAAAAATTAATTTAGTGTCCTTTGAATTTTTGGTTATTTCATCTCATTCTCTCTCTTTTATATATATATATATATATATATATATATATATATATATATATAAACACACACACAGGGTTCAATGATGATATCCTGCACTCTCATATTATATATATATATATATATATACACACATGCACACACACACACAGAGTGCGATGGATAAATTGTCTCCATTTTGTATTTTTTTAATTTCGCATATGCATGCTGTTTTTGATTTTGTCAACTGCACAGAATAGTAAGGTCAGTTGGGCATTGTCTGTAAGAAGAAAAAAAAATCACTCTGCCAGAAATTTGGAATGGGCATGCTGTACTGCTTGGCATTTGCTCCAGAAGCTGCAATTTGAACATTTCAGAGTGTTTGAGTCCAATCTGAGGATTGCAGAAGATTTGGAAACAGTTGGATGAGTCTAATGGTGATTACGAAGGCACAGCAACTTGGAAAGCTCACTCTGATCATTCTGATAATAAAAGAACTCCCAAATTTATTGGTGAGGGCTTCAGACTCAACATGCAGAACTACATCAAGTGTCTTGAGGAGGTAGCACTTAGCTGGTTCAAGAGGGTGGCTGCTGGAGGACCCTATGTCTGGCAACAGAACTCTGCACCATGCCACATAAGCAGGAGAACCCAGTCATGGCTGTCAGACAATTTGGGATGAGCTGGTATGTTTTATATATGAATTGATAGAGAACAATTCTAAAATTAAAGTTTGATAAAAGTTAAAAGCATTCAAATTAATCAATAAGAACATTTTCATGTAAAATTATTCAACGTGTTTTAACAGAAATTTTTAAATAAAAAAAAGTTGAGATTTTTATAAAAATTAACATTTAACTAATTTGTTTTTATTCATTTTTAATACTTTAATATTTTAATGGTGTTTTCATCATGCTACTAACAACTATAACTGATAAAGTTGAAAAAAAAACAGCAAGATTTTGATTTTGAGACAGTTAAAAACATTTTCAGGATGACTAGAGATGCTTTTCAGGATAGTTCAAGGATGATAGTGAAAAAAGAAAATTAACTGACCTTAAATGTACAATTATACAATTATAACATTAGAATCATAATATAATCCAATACAGAATTAATTGTTCTGCAAAGAAAGATGTTCATCTAGTCAAGGTTAGATTCATGATAATAATAATAAAAATCCATGTAAATACTAATATTGCATTATTCTTAAATGTAACAACCACAGGTATTTTCATCAGAAAAGATGGATTTATTCAATAAAAGATTCAAACTGTCAATAAGCCATCACTCACAACTTGTTAAATACAAGTTTCAGATAAAATTGGTAGAACATCCAACAATCATCTAATTTATTTAATCTGTTGAACATGTAAAACATCCAACAATGTTCTAATTTATTTAATTTGTTGAACAAGTAGATCACCCAACAATCTTCTATTGGATTGATCAAAAAATGTATTCAGTTTATAAGGAAATTTTCTACTTAATAAAGTAAATTAACTTTTTAACCAACCCAATAATTTCTAATTTCTATTCTCACATAATTTTCAAGGAGAGTTTTTTGAGTTTTTTTTAATCCTATAAGCAATTGTAGTGTCTTGGAGCATGCCCAAATGTACTGTAGCAACACTGTGTTTGTCCAAGGCAAAATAACCCAACAAAACCAATCTCTCTTTTGCTTGATGTCTTGTTTTTGACTCAGAATTGAGTTCAGTTCATGGGCCCAGTCTATTTTACTATTTTATACCTAACTAGAAGAACAACAAATGGATTAATGCTTTCCCAAAGGAACTGGTGTGAAGTGAATACAAAACAACTCAGTCTGAATCTGAACTTAACTATTTCCCGTGACAATAACTCTGATATCAACCTCATGTCCATTGTTTCAATTTATTTAAAATAAATAAAAACATTAATAAAGCAAATGTTGAATAATATTTCATTTGGTGTGATAGGCATAATAAAAGGATACAATCTAATCCATCAGCAAGGAAGGATTTTGGTAGATTCTTTGAACTCTTCTTAATTTTCAATTTTTTCTCCAATTCTTTTATTGTCTTTTCATCTTCCTTAATGGCATTCAGATAGTACAGTCTACGTGCATTGTGTTCACTCTCTTCATCTGCTTCATCATCATCATCATCATTGTAATTTCCAAATTCCTGTTAAAATTTTGTGTTAAATTTATAAATTCAGAATGCTGATATTATCTAATTTTATTTCTCATCAAAACCAAAAATAGACACAAAAATAATTATATCTCTTTATCTTATCTAATTAGGTTTCTGAGATAGCTGTGAATGTATAGTACCAAAAATTCAACATTAAGCAGGCATTTGCTATGAGATGGTAGTTTAGTAAACCATAGTATATTATATATACAGTGTAACCCGGATATAAGAGAGTTGTCGGGACCGGAGAAGAAGTCTCTTATATCCGGGTTTGGTCTATTTTGTTTAGGTAAGTAGGGGACACTTCATATAATGCTTTTTACGTACAGAACACTAGTTTATTTAACAGTTATAGACATAAAAAACACAGACAAAAATACATTTTCAATCAGTTTTCAAAATAATTCAATCAAAAATTACTTTTTCTTAAAAAAGTCAGTCATTTTTGATTGTGCAGAAACCTCTTTGTTAACATCATGAACACTTTCATACAGTCCGTAAATCATTTTCAATGCGCCATCAGGATTACTGCTTTTTGCTTCAAAGTAGGCTGTCAGAGTTTCAAGCACATTTAATGCAGCCAGAGAATTTAGCACTGGTTTGTCACTTTCAGAAACTTGTAGAGGGTGCAAAGAAGTCCCTCAAACAAATAATAAAAAGAAAATACACTACAAATAAAGTAAAATAAACTTTTGTTTATTTTTGTAAAGAATTATTTTTTTTCTTGTACAAAAATGAAATTGTCCGTAAAGCTGCGGAAGAAAAAGAGAAAGAAAGGAACTGGGAATGTGAGAGGGAAAGGTAGGACTATGTGTAGCGAGCGAGATGAGAGAAAGAGAGGGTGAAAGAATGTTCACTGATACGTGATACTGCCTGTTGTGTGAACTGCTGAATTATCTCGGTGTGTGTGTGCTCGAAACTGTCCGTGTCGCTTTGATGTCAGCTTGTCGCTGTTCTCTCTCCGTTCTGATGAGAGTTTCTACCTTCCTTATATAAGAATGATGAGGCTCGGGGAGATTAAGAAATGGGTTTCTTATGTCGAGCCCTGATTGGTCAATAAATCATATTTTTGACCACGTGGTGTGCTTTTCACTACGTCCGAACTTTTGGGTGCAACGTCCTTGTTTTTGACCCCACAGGGCATGGTAAGGAGTGAATTCCCGCGCAATTGTATTTTTTGATACACGTGGTGTGAATTAATTTTTATTGTGTGTATGTGTGTGTGGAAAAATAAGAAACAGCACAAACTTCAGAACTTACGCTTTCAGCATCATCATCGTCAAAATCGTGATCATCCGATTTTATACCACGTGTGATGTCCATGTCAGTCAGTTCTCCATAACATTGTGTACGGTCATCGAAGCTGATAAATTCATCAAAATCTGTTTGCTCCATGCCCGATGGTGGAGAAACTTGATCATTTTCGTCGAGTATTTCTTCCACTTCAGCCTGATTCAATGACAAAGCCGGCCTTTTTAAAACAATTTTGAATTGTTGACGGTTTGACCATGAAAAGTGCTCACTTCATCATGTGCATGGCCTTCAAAACAGTTATCTGCTTCACTCTCTAACTGACCTCTGTTTGACCGATTTACGACATCACACTGTCACTCAAAACGAACTCTCTTATATCGGGGAGGACGGGACCAGAGAAAACTCTCTTATATCCGGGTTACACTGTGTATATATATATATATATATATATATACACACACACACACAGTGCAATGGGTAAGTTGTCGCCATTTCATATTTTTTATTTCTTGTATGCGCATTGTTTGTTTTTGATTTTGTCGACCACACAGTATAGTAAGGTCAGTTGAGCATTGTCTTTGAGAAAAAGAGCACCATAACAATTCACTCTGCCATAAATTTGGAAAGGGCATGCTGTACTGCTTGGTATTCACTTCAGAAGCTCCAATATAGACATTTCAGAGTGTTTGGGTGCCAATCTGAGGACTGTGCAGAAGATTTGGAAACAGTTGAATGAGTCTAATGGTGATTACAAAGGTACAGCAGCTCAGAAAGCTCATTCTGATAATAAAAAGAACTCCCAAATTTGTTGGTGAGGGCTTCAGACTCAACATGCAGGACTACATCAAGTGCCTTGAAGAGGTAGTGCTTCCCTGGGTCAAGAGGGTGGCTGCTGGAAGACCTTATGTCTGGCAACAGTGCTCTGCACCATGCCACACAAGCAGGAGAACCCAGTCATGGCTGTCAGACAATTTCTGCAACCACATCAGCCATTACATCTGGCCACCTAACTCTCCAGACTGCAACACCTTGATTATTTTGTGTGGGGCACAGTTGATCGAGAGACCAACAAAACTCCTTGTAACACGGAAGATAAACTGAAGGCACGGATTATGGCCGCATTCACCAACTTAAACAAGGAGACTCTTCAGAAGAGTTCCGAAGTCATTTGGAGGCCATGGTTTAAGCCAATGACGATTTTATTGAATAAATTTACTCTTTAGTATTTCAAGATATTTTTGTGTAATTCTGATAAATATATCTGTTAAAATGAGATGTCAGTATTATTTTCATTTTTGCAACAATTTATTCATCTCACCCTGTATATATGTGCAAAAGAGGCAAAAAATTGGACAAAAAAATGGTTTATGGACAATAGTCATGTTTTAGAGCAACTTAGCCAGAGTCCAGACCACAACATAATTGAGAATTTGTAACAAGAACTGAAGATGTAAGTAAAGACCTGGAGACCTTAGCAAGAAAAAAAAAAAAAAAAGAAATACAAAGAACTGAGCCAAAACCCCCTCTGGACTTGTCACATTTTGATAATGGAGTATAAGAACCAGTTACAAGCTATGACAGCTGATAAAGGCTTTGCCATTGATTACTGATAGATAGAGGTATGACAATTTTAATGCCTTGTTTTGTGATCAAGTTGCCAATAATAATTCAATGAAATAAAGTTTTTCTTCATATTTCTCATTTCTTTTACTTCTTTTCTTTTTATGCCAATTTGGGTAAAAAAATGAAAATTCCTTTAATGAAAATATTTATATAAAAAAAGAAATCACAAATTTTGCAGAGTACAAATAATTTTGGGCTTAACTGTATATGAGAAAAAGACTGACTGATTGTGTTTAACAGTCCTTCAACCTCTTGTTGATCATTTACAGCCAAACAGATTGTGTTATAAACATATTTTATAGTTTGTTAAGTATGGGTAAGAGTAAGTTTTATAGTTCTTCAGATATGGCTCAAAGAAAATTTTATAGTTTGTTAGATTTGGTTGAAAGAAAGTTTTTCTAGATTATAGTAGAGAAGTTTTATTGTTCACCAGGAATGTTTGAAAACAAGTTTTATTGTTTGTCAAGAATGATTAAAGTTTTGTTGTTTGTGTAAACACAAAAATTTTTTTAATATTTTATTATAAAGTCCAATCCTTTTGCCAAATTATAGTACATTATCTGGTTTAATATTTTCAAAAAGTTAATTCTGTAATACTTGTTTTGAATTTCCTGGAAGCTGCAACATTCCAAGAGTATGAGTCTGACTATATACGACTCCTAACATGATACACATCATGGTGGGATTTAATTTCTCAATAAATGGCTTTGAGTAACGTGTGTATGTCCACTATGAAGTCTAGCGAGAACCAGCTCCCACCTCCTCTCTTCTTATCTTTCAGAAACCAGAGAACCATTCACTGAGAGATGGGCCGAATATTATATAATTTATTATTATGACAGTTATTCCATATCTGTTGCCATTTTTCTTTAATAATCTTATTAATGGTTGGTTGGAGATCATTGTACAGGATTTTTGTATTTGAGAGATCCATATTTAGTGACTTCTTTGCTGCTTTGTCGGCCTTTTCATTTACCTGAATGCTGATATAACTCAGTATCCAACAATATAATTTTTTTTGTTTTTGGAAAGGAGATCTAACTTACTCATGACTGGATTCTTGCTATTTCTATTTTGAATTGATATAAGTGTGGATTTAGAATCCAAAAACATAATAAATCTGTTTCTTTGAGATTTTAAAACAATTTTTAATGCTAGATATATTCTGACTGTAGATTGAGGACTCATTTGGTAATTGTTTCAAGGCTTTAATACTGTTCCATATGGCTTTTGATCCATCCATATATGTGAGAGTGGTCTGGGTAAAGATTTTTAATAATTTTTTTCCTCTTAGTAATTTAATGAATTGGTGATTGCTTTGTGTAGCTTGATAAGTTTCAGTATCACTTTTGGTTGTGTTAGTAGCTAAGGTTTTTTGGGTCTGATTCTTCTTTATCTGATTTTGGTATTGGGGATCACAGTAGCTTGTTATCAACTATTCAAGAGTTTACTCTTAAACCATATCTCATTAAAATGTTTAACAGATATTTTACAGATTTTGCAGGGAGTTGTTTAAGAAATCATCATATTTATTATAAAACCCAAGTTGTGTATGTGTGTGTGTCTGTACGTTTATATATTGGATCGGATTTCCTACATTTTTCAACTGATTTCAACAAAACTTCACAGGACTATGTAAAATTACCTAGCGGTGGTTCTGACAGCGCCAAAAATTGGAAAAACACAATTGTTTTTGCATTAAATCAATTTGAAAACATGATTAAGAGGCATCGCTGTCACGATAATGAAAGGGGGACAACTCATATCGAGTTATACTTATAAAATCCAGGTTGTGTGTGTGTTCATTTATATATGGATCGGATTTCCTACATTTTTCAACCGATTTCAACAAAACTTCACTTTTTTTTTGGCAGGTAGTGTTTCTTATTGTCTTGCACACTTTTTTCTTTATTTTTACATTCAGAATGCTTTAAAAATTCCATGTGCAAAACAATTGTTTATAATAAAATTCTATTCAATCAGACTCATAACGATTGAAAACAATGTTTTTGTTTGAGTTTGACCAATTCATAAAAAAAAAAAAAACTAATTAAGACATGCGTGTCCGTCAACCTTAAACAATAATCTTTGTCAATTTTAATTTTCAGTCTTTATGATGGTCGATACTTGATCTATCTCTTACTGTTACATCCCCGGGCAACACCGGGCTCTACTGCTAGTTCATAATGAATTTCATTTGGGCCAGTAGCTGCATTATGTGATTTGCTTATGGAATCTATAAGTTTATTTAGGCTAAAAGATTGGTTTTAATCTTCTTCTTTGTTCCAGTTAAAGTTCAACTTTTTTTTTTCTGCTTATTGCTTAACTTTTTAGAATTGCTGTTTGTAGTTTTCGCGAGAGAAATTTTGTTTAAAGTTTTCTGCGAGTAGATTTGCTATATCCTTTTTACTTGTTATTTTAAGAAGGGTCATTTAGTGGAGGTGATAGATTTTTGCCAGCAATTTTCCTGATTATATTCCAGATATTTTTATTTGATATGGGAGTTTATTTTATTTATGTAATCTCTCCATAATTTTCTGTTAGTTTCTTTGATGGTTCTGCATACTTTTGCTCTACTGGAATAGATTTAAATTATGGGTTGTAGGTTGGATATTTGATATGTTCCGGAAATGGATATATTTGAATGAAGTAGCTAAGTGGTTTTGGCTACTATAACCAAGTAGAATACAGTAATTGACTGGTATGCGTCCTAGTTGCAGGTAAGAAGTGTAGATCAATGGCATAGTCCAATGGGCATCATTATAGACTTAGCTCTTAGACTAAGGCTCTTTGACTCTCATACCTACACGTCTGTCAGTATTTATGACGGACACCAGTCAATTATATTCCAGTGAGGGGGAACACAGGTGTACGCATATTCCATTATATCAATATTAAATCTTTGTAGTGCTGCTCTACATAATCTTATTGCCTTTTTGCAATCTTCGTTGAACCAGGGTCTTTGATGTTACTTGATTTAGAGCTTTTTGGTATACATTTTCTTGCAATTGCTATTAATGTTTCAGAGAAATATTGAATATATTATATATATATATATATATATATATATATATATATATATATATATTTTGTCTTTGTTAGTTTTTGATAGCATTGGTTTTATATTGCCTTTAGTCTGTTTTGTTTAGTTCCTATCGAGGGAGATTGTCTTCAATTGGTTCTGAACTCTTCAGTATAATTGGATAGTGATAGACTGTTACTCTCATACACTGATCTTGTAGATGGCCAAATTTCTTATTTTTATTTATGGATATCTCAATAAAACACCATTAAAAATACCCATTCAACAATTTTCAATTACATAAAATCATTTTAAAAAAAAAAAAATTAATTAAATATCTTTTTAAAAAGAATTTCAAATACACAGCACCATTTTGATAATAAGATCTTTCCAAGAGCTGCTGCTTCTCCAAGTACTGCAATCTTTCAAGTCCAGGTCAACCATTATGTATACTATACATCCTCATAATCTACAATTCTTACCTCCTCCCCTTATGTGTATAAAAGAATTGCATTCAGTAACTCTTTACCCTGAATGGCTCTTGGGCCTCATATCGACTGAACAAGTGTATAAAAAAAAAAAAACACTATTTACACAAAGCCACTTAAAAAGAAAAGATATTTCCTAATTTTCCCTTATATGTTATCCAGCAAAGTTTAACATTTATGAAAACATTTGTGAAAAGGATGGTTTTTCTTTTGACACCACTATTAGTGTATATTGCCTCAGCAATTTTGTTTTAAAATGTTACTTTTAGAATTTTAATAAAATCCAAACATGAAACTGGATTTATGCATTCTCTTTTCTCAACAATTGAAAGCAAAAATATTAAACATTATTTTTGTAATTAAACATCCAACAAGTAAATAGTATTTACTGTTTTTGTTATTAGTTCTTGAGAAAAAATAGTATAAATTCAGATGCTCACAAACTATTTAAGTGAATTTATGTGACAAGAGCAAATGAAAGAAATATCTAGAAAACATTTTTTTTTCTTTTTCAAAATTTATTATTAGTTACTCATAGTTATTTATTTGAATTTTGTTTTCATAGTTATTTATGATATGGTAAATGATAAATATTGTGTTGTAATTGGTTCACATTTTTATAAAATTGTAAATATAAAATTATTCTTTTAAATAAATAATCTAATAAATTAAATCATGTTTAATTCTTTTGTTTTCAATTCTCAAGAGAAAAAGATAATGCATAAATTCAATTTCATATGCTAGGATTTTATTAAAATTCTAAAAATAGCTTTTTAAAACAATAAATATTGCAGTGGGAGTATACAGTAACAGCTGTATAGAGAGAAAAGCCATCCTTTTGACACACTATTTTTGTAGGGGTATGAATGTTAAATTTTGTTGACTTTCTCAATTTTTAACTTGGATATCAGTTGGGAATTTACTTTTCTTTAATAGCATCACTTGCTCCTTTAATCAAAAGAAAAACATGAATACAAAATTTCTGAACGTCTAACAAAACCTTTTTTTTCTTTTCCTCTTCAGCTTTGAGCCTTGCCAATTTCCTTTGTTTATTTCTTAATGCATTCTTCTTTTTCCTTTCTTTCTCTTTTTGCAGCTCTTCCTGTTTCTTAAGCTGTAGATCTTCTAAAGTTGGAATCTAAAATAAAAAGACACAAAATGAAAGATAATTATATGAACAAGAATTTGGCTAATGTCTATAAAGGCAAATCTCACTGCCATGTCAAATAGTTTCAGTCTGTGAGTAATTACACAATCCACCAATAAAACAGTTCTTTAGCATTGATCATCTAACAAAGGTTGGAATAGTTTGAGTACCTAAAGAGCCTAGTTATCCAGAAAAACATATCATTGAGCTGGATCCCCAAAAAGCTTGAGTGGAAACATTATTATTCTAATCCTTACCTTCTGACCTGCCTAGTTTGAGCGAAACTGCCATATTTGTGTCAGTGGGATACAAAAATGCCACTACCACATCCATGCAAGAATCATTGGTGCAACAAATATTTAGAAATAGTTAATAATGTGAAACTAAAATATCTGCACATTTTAGATCAAGAGCTCAAACATTGTTAATTCTTCAAACTTATTTATATACCATAGCACGACCTTTAGCAAGACCACCTCTGACTTAGGGAATTCGATACACATTGGAGCTTGACTATTGTAGCCTTATGTCAGATTAAATTTTATTTCCTCTACGCAGTAGCATAACATGGTAAACATTTTCTTTTCATAATCCAATCATTACTAACTGAAATTACATTTGGATTATATTTTTCACTTTAGCATCCGAGACAATTTTTGTATACCAGATACTGAATTATGGTCCTTAGATTTTTCAAAACCTAGCCTCATAATTTGAGCAGTATTTGATATGTAAAAATCATTTTTGACACTAAACTGGAAAAATCTTGAGTATGTTTATAAGGTAACTCAAAAAAGTAGGTACCTCCAAAGAAAAGTGCTACTTTTAAAAATGAAAAATCTTTAAGCTTTTTAGTTTTAATTCGACTTGTTGAGGATGTTAGAAAGTTACCAATAAATTTTAATTAAATTTACAATAATTTCAACTCTTTTCTGATAATGCTGTGTATGGATATTCATATTTACAAAATTCAGCATATTTATACAGACACAAAATAATTTAGAATTCTTAAGATATTGGGAGGGGGGTGCTCACAGAATTATAGTAAACTTTTCCATTTATGATTAATTAATATAATTTTTATTTAATAACAATATCACCTAACCACTACACATTAATACAGAATTTTAAGATTTAAAATATTATAAATTAATATAATTAAAAATTTTTAAAAATGAAAACAATTCTTGGAAAAATTCATTATTCATCAAAAAAAGGTTTTCTTTAAGATAACAGTGTCCATAATATAGCTTATTTACAAAAGGAATTAAAAGCTTTTCTAATTAAATAATATCTTAGTTTTATTGCATTTTTTAGTTTACAACTCAGAGCAAATATTCTGTAACTAGGTGTCCTATTTGACAAAAAAAAAAACTGAGGATTTAAATTCTCCATGGACTTGTCATTATAACTAATATAAAGATTAATTGCAACAAAATTGAATTTGCCAACATTTAATAAGCATGTGTGGGGGGGGGGTAACAGATTATATATATATATATATATACACACACACACACACAACGTCCCCACAGATTTATGTAAAAAAATTTACTGGACTTTTCAAGGACTGAAATTGGTGCATACACACACAAAGTAAATGGTCAACAATTTCAAAAACACAAACTTTGTGATTTATCTTTTAATAGTTTGACAGATGAGATGTTTAAAGAAAGGCTACAGATGAGTCATGTCACATGGATCAGCTGAAAACACTGACAAAATCCAAATGTTGAAGGCTAAAACACAACTGAATGCAGACCTGGTTATATTACACATTTTGTATAGCATTCTACACAATTTGGAGTTCTACTACACATGAAAATTTTGAATTACACACTTTAATTCTTACTGATACACATTTCAGCTCTCTAGACTCCTTCTCGTTTGTGAATGTCACAAAAATTCTTGACTGCTGCACATTTCCTGTGAAGTTAAATATCATGGTTTTAATGAACAGAAATACAAATAGAAATTTTCACAAAATGAATACACATTTTAGCTACCCCTACTACTCATGGCTTTTGTTGTACATGACAGAACAATGATGTTAATATTTTTTCAGTTCATCTTGTTTAACATTTAGCTCCTCTTCCAATTTTGATATCTCTATGGATTTGTCCTTGCAGATCTTCACATGGTATTGAACTTTGCAATAATTGTGAAGTTCTGAGTCTGCTCAGCTTTCTCCACATAGCTGTCAGCTGACTTGAGCAAATTTTGTGCGCAACTTTCAAACTTGTGTTTTTTGGTGTTCAGTTCTTCAATTTCCATAAACATGGATTTCTTTTTTTGTCAAGCTGCCTTTTTTCTTTTCAGCCTCAAGATATTGGTTGTATACTGCTCTGGCATTGAAAGCACTGCAGAGAGTCATGCGAACATTCCCAGCATCTCCAACTATGGCCAAATACTCCATGATAATGTGCTGTGCAAGCAGAGTCTGCTCTTTCATTTTGTCAGTTAAAATTTCCTTATTGACCGAGAAACCTCTCTCCATTGAGGCCTGTCCATGAGAGAGTACCAGCAATCTGTGAACCACTTTCCACAATTTTTGATATTCTGTTGTTAGACAAAGAGTAAAACAAAGTGTCCAGATGGTCTTAATGCTTGCTGAAATTCTTGAAAGCAATATTTCCAGCAGCAGCATCCTCAGACTCTTTGTACTGACTGATGATGTCATCAAAATCAGACTTGCTGATTTGTTTTCTCTCCATCATGTGGGAAAGACATCTTTTTAGACAGTCTTCTGTGGCAGATCTTTTTTCACAAATGGATCCAGTGTTCAGCCATGCAAGTAACCTTACAAGAGGTTATCTAAGGGTAGGCTTTGTTTAATGATGGTGATGAACATTACATACAGAATCACAACAAAGACAAACAGATCTTTTGTTGACATATTTCCGTTTTTGAATAAATTTTACAGAGAAAATCCAAACTCAATCTTTGCAGCATCTTTTATGCATGTTTGGGTTTTGACAAAATTCTTAGAAATTTCCTTCAGTTTGGAAAACGTAATTATATTTTTAGTGTGCTCTTTCTTTATAAATCTTAACAGTTTCATGATCATGCTTTTAAAAAGATCATTTGCAAGAAAAGGAAGCAACGGTTTATTGATCTGATATTTTATCAGAAATGGTTTCAATGTCTTTCAAAACAGACACAAAAATCTGCAGTTTCCCTAAAAATAAAATATCATTCACATTTGACAGCACCACAAAGAAGAACTTGGTCTGGGGACATTTTTCTGTTTTTTAAATTAAATTCACAAATTTGATGACATCTGGCCAAATGTCTAGTTGCTGTTCCCATGTTTGTACATTTTCTAGCCATCTATGGCAGAAATACAAAAGTAAAGGGACAGGGTTGCCAAATTTAACTTTTAAAGCCAAGCAATAAAATCCAATCATTTTTTCACACTTACAACAAAAGCTATAGATATAGGTCATTATTATCCTGTAAACTTGTTCAAAAATTGATATGACAGCTCAATTACAAAACAAAATAAATCACAAGTCCAAACTGGAAGATGCAAGAGCAAATAAAATTTTGAAATCACAAATCACCAGTCCAATGTCAAAGAGCCCAATATACATAAATGGTCAGAAAGCCAACACACAAGGTAACAGTCACTTGCAAGTTGACAGACAAGGTAGAAAAATAAACTACTTCCCAATTCAAGAACACCAACTGCTTTTATCAATGGAACAATTTTTTCATTGGTCAACAGTTAGAGAGGACAAACAATATTAGAATATCTGAGATGCATTTATGACAATACCTGTGAATGACTTGTGTCTATATTGGTTATTTGAACTTCGGCATATTGTACAGAACACATATGCCCTTTTTCTTGGTAAGTGACTTTCTCTTTCGCCACACTCCCGATCACACTCTTGATCACACTGGTGACAACCAGGGGTGGATCTCTTAAACCTTCTATCAAAAGAACTATCATCTTCTTTCTCAATGAATCGTCTCCCAAAGGGACATCAGACATATTTCCACAAGGCTGAGTATAGTTTTCTTCTGAGGACATACCCAAGGCATCTCTAATTTTGACCAGTTCCTCATTATTAGAGGATTTGCTGTCAACATCACTCGATGTGTTTGAAATGACAAAAAGGTCACAGCACAGATCCCTGACATGGTGCAACATTCCATCAACAAAATTCATGCACGGGCTTCTAATCCCTGTGACACATCCCACTTGATATTGAGTTGTACATCAATTTTGAGGGGTTCTTACCAACACACAGTCCCCTAACCCTAATATGTCAATCATCCACATTCTTGATTTGGTGGAAGTGTATCATTACCTTGTGCCTGGACTCTAGAACAGTAAATCACATTGGCAGGTGCAGTGGAAGGTGACACGTCATGTTTGGGTGTAATGTTCCTATATATGGCTTCCATCCCTGAGCATTGTTTCTTTGTGGCAAATTGCTTTATTCTTTGGTGGCAACATTTAATTATCCCATTACCAGAGAGGACATGCACACAGCAGAAATGGATATGGATTCCCCACCTGTCTAAAAACTCTTTGAATGGTTTACTATGGAAAGCAGTGTCTTTCTTGATGAGTAGTTCAGCAGGAGGTCCCCATTCAAAAAATAGGACCTTTAAATGGTTGATGACACTGGCTGAATCATGTCAATGCAGTTGTTGCCAGATTGTGAATTGAATGGGTCCACAGCCAATCAATGTCAGGTAATGTTTGCCATCGTGATGAATGATGGCAATCCCAACCCAGGTCCACACATAGCTAACATCTAACTTTCGTCTTGGCCATTGTACTAGAGATGGGTCAATGGACCAACACTCTCTACATTCTCTAATTACAGCCCTAACCACTGCCTTGGACAATGTGGGATCAATCTGCCTTGTGAAGTACCAGGTTCTTTTAATACCCACTTTGACAGTGTACCAACTGTGGGGAAAATAGAAATGGCTTACCTCCCAAACGCCCTCACATCTGTCTGGCCTGTTGGTTGAGAAAGGAAAGAAAAGATCCAAGATGGCGTCCGTGACTTTTTAATATTCACGGTCTCGTGCAGTCACACAAAGTCACATTACACGCATGCTAATGAGGTGTGTCTGGGCTCCATAAAAGCAGGTCGCTTGGAGAAATTGGCAGAAGGGCATTACACCCGTGTTCGGTGTACATTGCTTTGCGTTGCATCGTGTCAGATATTTTCCGACGGAAAGAGTTGCGTCCCTTACACTCTTGAATTTGACTCCTTTGCTACACCAACCTTTTCTGCATTTGCTCACTGATGTTACACAAAAAAAAAAACTTCATCACTTCCATCTCCTTTCTCACTGTGTTGAACCATCCCCTTATAAATGATGGTTTGAAATAGCCACAATTTGAAATTGAAAGAATGGTGCAGAAAAGGACCCAATGTTTCTGTGCTTGATCTTCACAAGACATACCTACAAATATGTGTGCATCAATTGCTGTGGCCATTTCAAACTATCATTTATAAGGGGTAGAGGTACTGCCTGACAAGAATGGGATTTGGGCTCAATGTTGCACCAGCTATCCTGAAAGCCATTGTGGATACCATGCTGGCAAAAGATGAGTCCATTCTCCAAACCACTTCAGCCTATATTGATGATATCTATGTCAATGAAGATGTGACATCTGCAACATACATAAGACACAGGATGATACAGCTTTCAAGTTTGGGAGAAGCAGAACACACTGTACTAGAAGTGTGGGAGTGAAGTACAGAAAGGACCCAAAGTTTTGATTCAGCAAAAAATATTTTCACAATGCAGAAAATTACTAGAACATTTTCTTGTTTGTGGCTGGCTCCATATTGCAACCACCTTCATCAAACATAGAGTAACAGGACTCTACACCATGCCACACATCAAAAGAACATAGTCATGGCTGTCAGATATAGGGTCTTCCAGCACCACCCTCTTGGCTCAGGCAGCACTATCTTCACAAGGCACTTGATGAAGGCCTCCATGTTGAGTAACAATCCCTGTGGGAAAATAAATCAATTACAGATAATGATGTCTCAGTGACAAATTATCGAGGCCAGTAAATTTTTGTGCAATAATTGAGGGTAACATGGACTAAACTAAAATTATCAATATCTCCTTAACGGTAGATTTCCACCAATTTTTAATATTTTTTGGAATAACCAGGCGATTTTAAACCAGGAATTATATATTTTTTTTTAATTTGTCACTGGGGCATTATCTGCAAATCTTTTCAAGCCCTGGAAAAGTTCCATGTCGATTTTCCAGGACTTTTCATCAAGGTTTCTAAGACCTGTACGAATCCTGTACTGTATACTTTTTTTTTAATGAAACATTTCATAAATAAATACTGAAAGTGAAAGTTTCATTAAAATCCGACAATTATCTGATTTTTGCAAGAATTTCCAATACACCGGAAAAAGACGTTAAAAAATTTCCAATACTAATTTTTATGGTCACCCGTTGACGCAAGAAGAAAAACAAAGGTTTTTATTAACATAATTTCGAAGTTTCTAAAAATGATTTTAAAAAATATAATTTAATAATCAAAAATCCTTCGGCCTTTCCCCTTCAAAGATTTTGACGATAAAACTGTTTTTATTAAGTTGGAGCATTTATTTCATCATACTCATTTTTTACCGAATCTTTTTTGGGGGTACCTACATCAAATCCAAAAAAGCAACACTCAAAAACGGATCTTTACGAAAAATTGCCTGACTGGCCAGTAGACAGAAAAAGTTTCAAATTTAGCTGCTCGGCTAATGAATGTAGAATAGGAAACGACTAAAAAACCATTAGCAACGCACAAGGTGCTTCATTCATTTTTATGAGTGAATGTTTATTATTCTAGTCTTCGACTACTGGAAATGTTTGTTTTAAAAGAGAAAGACATGTACTTTGATTAAATCAAAGACTAGACACTTTGCAATTGTTTTACGCAGTAAAGATTTTTTTTAAAAATCAATAGATTTCTTTATTATTAATTTAGAAATTGTTTTTATTTGTTACTGAGACACAAAAAAATCAAAGCTCTACAGGTTCGTATGTTTCTCCCTAGCGAAATTGAAAGAAAAGTAACAATAATCGACAAACTAACCTTTTTCCTTTGGGTAAAAGCAATACTCTTTGCTTTTTTTAAATCACGTAACATTTTCCTTTTCTCTTTTCGTTGGATAGCTTTAATAACGGGCCCCATGATAGATTTTATTCTGAATACATACAAAAAAAGACACGTGCAGCTAAGCGGAACAGGAAGTAAGCGGTGACTATACAAAAAAAAATTATCTTTAAACATAAAGGGAAGTAACTTTGGGCGTTACTTGACCAAAAGAACAGTTGTAAGTAGAATGTGGTGACACGTCACAAATAAATGACACTGAATTTAAGATTGAACTGAAGTGAAAAGCTTAAACGAAGTTATTTTATTTCTAAAAAGTAAATTACCTAATTTTATGATAATATACTTTTCCCAAGATTACAAACATGATCTTTTTAACTGTTCTTTTATCACAGATGGACAGAAATAAAAAATGTATTCAATGAAGCTATTTCATTGTAAATAAAATTAACATGTAATTTATTTTTTCAGAAAGAATGGAAATAAACTCTAATTTATTTTAGTTCAATTTAAAATTTATTTATTTTATTTCTGTGAAGAAAACAGTGTGGGTTAGGGGTCATATTTACAATCTGGGTAAAAATACATTTGTTTATGATATATACAATAATTGAATACAATTTTGTAATACTATGCAGGTTGGTTAATGGATATCAGCACAGAAAGTGAAATCAATGAATCCAGTTGAAATTCCGGGCTAGTTTGTTGCGTTCAGTTTCATACTAACACCTTTAGGAAAGGCATGAATTTATCTCTTCTTCCCTTAGCTCGGGATTAAATAGCAGGATAAACCTTGGGTGGTGTAGTGAGTGTCAAATAATAATAACACCATTTATCTTCTCCCTTCATATTCAGAGGAATGAGGAAAAATACAGAAAGGAATTTGCTAGCCTATATGAAATTTTCTTTGGACCAATGAAAACCTTGATTTCACAGAAATTGACTGGTGAGTTAAAAAGAAGTAAATAAATTCACAAGACTATGTGAAATTGTCATTAGAATAATGAAAACCCTGATTTCATAGAAATTAGGGTATAAGCCAAGAAGAAAAAAAGAAAAAGTAGCAAGCCTATGCGAAATACCTTTTTATATAAGATGTGAAGAAAAATTAAATTAATAAGAATGTCTGAAATCATGTAAAAGGTTTTGTCTCTGTTTATCGTGTCCAGCATTGCAGTTTTTGCCAGTATAAAATTATTTGCCAATTATATTATTGTCTTCTAACCAAGTACGTGGCCTTTCAAAGAAATTTCTCTTAACAATCTAAGAAAGCTAAATATTTCAAAATATCTCTCTTCATCTACTTTTGAATGTATGCAACCGTATATCCCTTCTGAGAACAACAAACTCTCTTACCTTACTAGTGGCAACCTGTCTAAAAGAAGGAAAATTGAATTCCAAACATGAAGAAGGTGTGGGTAGTAGTATTTATTTATTTGATACAAAGTTTTATGCTACTATTTTATTTATAATTTTCATTATTATTATTATATTTTATTTTTATTTATTTATAATATTAATTTCCCTACATAGGAAACAGGAAACCACTCTACTATCTTTACCAATGTGGCAATTCATAGGTAATAAAGAAAGTTTGTAAGAAGTCATGGTCACCTCCATCATTTGGTACTATTCTTTCAGACAACTCTGGGACATATTTTTGTAATGAATTTAAGTTTTCCATTAATGACTAGGAGTGATTTTCAAAATAGTTAAAATACCCTGATGGAGATCTATAGAACTTTTTTGGCTATGTTTAACATTTGTACCTGAAAAAAATGACATGTCAAAATCATTCCCATAACACCACTATTACTGTATACACTTTTTACTCCCTTGGCAATGTTTATTGTTTTACAAAGTCATGATTAGAATTTTAATAAAACCCAAACATATGAAAGTGGATTTATACATTTTCTTTATTCATGATGATTGACAACAAAGATATTAAACACTATTTATTTATTAGATTGTTTATTTACAAGAATAATTTTATATTTACAAGAGAAAAAATATATGGAAAGGCAAATGAAAGAAATACCCAGAAAATTAATTTTGCCAAAATTTATAATTACAATTATTTGTCATTATGTGTTTATTAAAATGTTCTTGTTCATAAACATTTTTATAAATTCATGAATAAAAACATTTATTTTCAGATTTATTTCTTTATAAGTAAAATAATTTTATATGTAATATACATATTCCGGCAATCTTGAACCTTCATGCCTACATAAAAACAGTGTTTTAACGAACTACCTTTACTTCCCAGTGTTATAGACAAGCGTATGGTTGCAAGAAAGAAATACGATAACAGTAGAAATAGATTTACATGGTTTATTTCAACAGGAACATGTGGGTTTGGGACAGCTACCTTTTGGTAAAGTTCATAAGCCGGCTTTGGATCTAGGTCGATCTCTCATAGTAGTTCACACATGTTGACGGTGGTTGATACTCCCTTGCTGTCAGCTGCTGACTGTGACAGGTCTCTACCCTGGGCACCTGTTGACTGCCCGTTGAACTTCCATGTGACCCCTTTTATAGCGTTTTTTTACGGCTTGACAGGCTCAAAAAATGAAGCGAGTATAATTAGGAGGGAAGCATTTTTATTGGACGAAAAATAGATTACTTTAAATATTATTTTATTTTTCGGCCGAAACTCGTGTGTTGGGAAAATTTGTAAATGAAGATAATGGTCATTTTGTGACGGGGCTTTGTCCCGTTCACATCCGGCTCTCGCTCTTGAGTATTTGCCTGTAAATCAGCCGAGATATGTCTTATTTTATTTTATAACACCAGCAATGTTTATTGATTTAAAAAGCAATGATTAAATTTATAATAAAATCTGAAATTGAATTTATACATTTTTTTTTGTTCTTGAGAATTTACAACAAAAAATATTAAACATGATTTATTTATGAGATTGTTTATTTTCAAGAATTTTATATTTACAGCATTCTAAAAACTAATACAATGCAATATTTATCATTTACCAATTTATAAAGAAATAAATATGAAAACAATTTTTTATTTATGAACATTTACTAAATTATTAAAATATGTGAACCACCTTGAAATCCTTATTATTTAGCATTTTATAATGTTTGAAATGATTGGCAATGTAGCCAATGTTTTGCCAACCATTCTAATAAACACTTTAATAAATAAATAGTATTTAATATTTAATAGAACAAAGAAAATGTATAAATTCACATTTATGTTTAAGTTTTATTAAAATTTTAATTATCCCTTTTTAAAACAATAAACACTGCTGATGAGTGAAGGTAGTTAAAAAAAAAATACTAGTGTCAATGGAAAAACTGTCCTTTTAAAACTCTGGGGTTTTTTTTGCAGGCACAAAAGTTCAAGATTACCAAATATTCTTTTGAGCACCTAATAAAAATTAAACTGGATAAAGAGAAAATGTTCATTTCAAAATGGGATAAAATAAAAAAAAATTTTCTTCTTAAAGAGATACAGTAATAGTTCTCTCATAGTTATGAAATTCTGAGCTGTCAACAGTTGAGGTCAAATGTGGCAGTGATGAAAAATGTTGTTGGCGAGAAAGACAGAATGGTGAATTGATAGCAGTGATGTGACAAAATCTCAGTTTGCATCTCTTTGAAACTGATTTCAAAATAAATTGTTAGTTTTTAGTTTCAGTGATGTTATCAAGAGATTTTTATTGGCCACTTGGCATTTGGGAATTTTTGTTGTTGTTCTTAGCTGCAATTGTTAATTTTAAAGGTTGTCTTTTTGTCTTTGTGACAATCCATTCTGACTCCATAAATGAATAGTCATTTTTACTTGCCAGCAATCTTGTTTATATTTAGGTCACCAGGTTCATAGTTAGTTACTATTTCAAATTATTGTGGGTTTGAATTGCTTGCTTCTGATCGTGGAAAATAATCCAAAGGGAGAATTTCCTTTCTCAATTCTTTTTTTTTTTTCTAGAATGTTCAAATTTTACTGCTTTAAGCCAACATCAAAAATAAGCTCCAAATTCAATACATATAAAAAAAAAAAGTTGTCTTGACAATTCAGTAGTTATTAAAGTTTTTGCCTTTAGGTATGATTAGTAGAAGTGGTTGGCCGCTTGTATCTGAGTATGCCTGTCTACTATGGCAGCTAGTCAATCCCTGTTGCAGACGCCACCTCAGGCACATTTGTGTTTGTTTGACACCCACAGACCCCACCCGTAGTTCATACTGAAACAATGTTTAGTAACAATTTCTGGGAGACAGGGTATTATCTGACATGATAACAATCTGAACAAGGCTAGTGCACTCAAACCTTGCTCATGATAACTTGTGACTTCATGCTAGCACAATAAACAACAGCTCATAAATAGTTCCGTCTATCCAATTTCACTCACAAGACTTGGATCAACCTGTGGTATGGTTTTCAGGTACTTTCCAAAGGTACCACACACTGGGATCACCTTCTCATGCCAATAACATCAAGAATTAAAAAATTTAACTATTATGAGATTTGAACTTGGGTCTCATGGTCAGAAAGTAAATGTACTAACCACTTGGCCATGCACCCATAATAGGTAGGGATAAGGGGCATAGAATTGTAAGTTATTCACATAATTTTTTGTACACCACTTCAAAATGTGAATGTTATTATCTTTGTAATGTCATATTTAAAAATAAGGCTTTTTTTTAATAAAAACTTTGAAATTTTTCCCATATTGAAAGAAATAGTTAAGTACATATCAAAAGTTAATTTTTATTTGATTCCCTGTCTTAGAAAATATGATTGATGAGATGATTTTATGACTGGGATAAAATACAAATTTTCTGGTACCATAATAGTGACACAATAAGGTTAGTGAAAAGTAATTAATAAAAAGAAAAATTGAGAAATTCATTCCATTCTTGTACAAGACAATACTTTTTCCAACCTTTTGTTTCAAACTGATGTTGCTGGAAGCTGGTTGATAGTAGCCAGTAACATTAATGAGGAAGCAGGTTGCACAATTTGCTATACTTTAAGAGTGGGGAGATAAAGCAACTGTTACTATATTAAAGATTTGCTTTATCCATGGAAGACTTACCAGTCAGTTATAACCA